AAAACTAGAACCACCACCACAATCACCACCGCCACCCACCACTACGACATTTATATTGTTTTCCCTCCACCACAATCAAAACTAGAACGAACACCACAATCACCACCGCCACCCACCACTACGACATTTATATTGTTTTCCCTCCACCACAATCAAAACTAGAACGAACACCACAATCACCACCGCCACCCACCACTACGACATTTATATTGTTTTCCCTCCACCACAATCAAAACTAGAACCAACACCACAATCACCACCGCCACCCACCACTACGACATTTATATTGTTTTCCCTCCACCACAATCAAAACTAGAACCACCACCACAATCACCACCGCCACCCACCACTACGACATTTATATTGTTTTCCCTCCACCACAATCAAAACTAGAACCATCACCACAATCACCACCGCCACCCACCACTACGACATTTATATTGTTTTCCCTCCACCACAATCAAAACTAGAACCACCACCACAATCACCACCGCCACCCACCACTACGACATTTATATTGTTTTCCCTCCACCACAATCAAAACTAGAACGAACACCACAATCACCACCGCCACCCACCACTACGACATTTATATTGTTTTCCCTCCACCACAATCAAAACTAGAACCACCACCACAATCACCACCGCCACCCACCACTACGACATTTATATTGTTTTCCCTCAACCACAATCAAAACTAGAACCACCACCACAATCACCACCGCCACCCAACACTACGACATTTATATTGTTTTCCCTCCACCACAATCAAAACTAGAACGAACACCACATTTCTGTTGTTTTCCCTCCACCGCTTTCACCACCACAAATTCTATTGTTTATCCTTTACCACTGCCACACTCGCCACCTATCTTTTTAGTTTTGATTACTCACCGGTTGAATATTGACTTCTTTTCTTAAAACTTGACTATCCTGCAAATCAAGACAAGGACATAGTTTGTAAGCGTCGAGTGTACCCATATCTAGACTGGGAGCATGGGTTCCTATTTTTCTTTGCAAACTAAGTTACTGCACGCAAAACCTAAGCACGCGAACCGCGATAAACGAGGGGGTCTAACCCTTATCTGCTAAAAATACCTATCTGCAAATGCTTTGTCTTAGACTAGCAAAACATAAAAAAGGGAGTTGCCGTTTTGATGAAACTTCAACTTCTATACCTGGAAATTAAAGTCGTAATGATTATCTCGGGCAATCTCAGGAAGTTCTTTTCCGTTACGGATATGCCTGGTCCAGGAAGCGCGTCCTAGAAAAAAGAATTTTAACTGTGAAATAAAATCATGATGTATAATTTTGTTTGATTCTATTAAAACAAAAAGCATTCCATATTTTTTCTCCTAAAAATGTGTAAAGTGGTTAAGATATTTGCGGCTAACATTTTCGGCAAACCATTCAACGGAAAACTAAAAAAAAAGCATACTTATCGACGCCTCCATTTGTTTTCACTTGCTAATTTAGTTATTATTATATAACTTTCTTGGCTAAGACGAGTTTCTCGTAGAAAACGACTGGGCGACAATTCTGTCGTCATTTTATCTCCATGTGCCTAGGATATCTTTCAACAGCTAGTTATGATCACGTTTTAGTTTCCACAGCCCGACCAACCGACGCACATAAAAGAAACGTGACTGAGCGTCAGGAGACGGGATACTCTTTTGCATCTTTAGAAAAGAAAGAGAGGTCATTGATACTGGTGATCGTAACTAGCTTTACCTGCCAGATGGGTATGAAGTGAAATGGCAGAGACGTTGATCCCTCCTCCAGGTAGTCCCGTATTGTTGAACAAGGACTGAAACAGAAATTAAACACAGTCTCTATTAATTGGAAAATTAAACGAGACTTACTTGTAAGTTGAAGTTTGATTGAGATTCTATCACATGACATCAGAAGGCAAGAGATCACATGAGATAGCACAGCGCTTGCGCAAGTCATAATTAAAAGCCACGTACTGGGTGCATCAAAAACAACATAACATGTAGGCTAAAGACACCAAACAGAAAACCCAAAAGCAACCAAGTTGCCTAAAAACGGGTGGGTGTTATGTGGAGGGCATGTGATCTCTTGCCTTCTGATGTCATGTGATAGAATCTCAATCAAACTTCAACTTACAGGTAAGTCTCGTTTAATTTTCCAATTCTATCACATGACCAGAAGGCAGAGATCCCATGAGACTTCAAAGCGTGGATGCACCCGTACGACATGCGCTCAAACAAGAGGCATGAAATCCAACAAACAATAGACCAAACATAAGCAATGATAAACATGTTATATTAAAATGGTCTAACAGTAACAAATTATGCAATAAAGCACACATGAAAAAACAAAATATTTCACTGGCCAAGAATAGCGGCAGTTAGTCTGTTTCCTTGAACAACAGGTTTGTTGTAATATTTACGAAAGGTCTCTGCGGACTTCCAGCCCGCGTTAGCCATGATCTCGTGGATAGGGACGTCCTTTTCATTTGCTTTGGAAACAGATGCTGACCTTGTGCTATGTGCAGTGAACACATTGGTATCAATCCCACAAATTCTAAGAGTTTCTTTAGTCCACCTTGAAACCGTGTCCCGAGAGACAGGTTTGTGGGGCCTTACATAACTAATAAACAATTGAGTTTCGCTATTACGCAAGTTCTTTGTCTTGTTAATATATGCTTTCAGACAGGCCAAAGGGCAAATTGTACTGTCTGGCTCATAAACGGAAATGTCAATCTTCGTATGTGGGCTCCTGGGAGTACTAGTCTTGATATGCTCAGCGAGGTCAAAGGAATAATTATCTTCTTCCATGGTAACATGCTGAAGATCTAGCAAGTGTATCGATTGTCCCCGTTGACTGGAAACTAATAGAATAAGCATAAGGGCCTTGTATGTCAAATCCTTTAAAGGCAATTTTTCATTGGGGTATAGGGAAGATAAATGTTTCAGAACCACCGAAACATCCCAAATTTTGTCGTATTTAGGTTTAGGTTTGCGGGTTTCAAATACCCCTTTCATAAAACGTGTAACAACATGATTGCTGCCAAAACTTTTCTCCCCGTCTATCATGACAATGGTAGATAAGGCAGAGCGAGCTGTATTAATAGTGGAGTAGCTAAGTCCTTGATTAAATAGGTCAGTGAGAAAATGGAGGGTGTCGCTCAGTGGTGGTGCATAACAATCAATTTTCCTTTCACGACAAAATGCCATCCATTTTTTAATGTATGTGGCATACTGTTTTTGAGTGCCTTTTCTCCAAGATGCCATGAGAATGTCGGTAACCTCCTCTGGAAGGTGGTAACGGCTGAAGGATCCCCTGACACAGGACAGACCATCAGATGAAGATTTTTGTGTAGAGGATGTGGGCCGCTGCGTGACGGGTGTTGTAGAAGGTCTGGGCGTGAGAGCAGAATCCAGGGCTGATCGCATAGGTGCTGTAGGAGGACTGGGAACCACGTTTGGGTTCCAGAGAGGGGCAATCAGAACTCCCTGTGCTCGGTCGTGACTGATCTTCTGAAGGCATCTTGGAAGAAGGCTAAAAGGTGGAAAAGCATAAAATTGATGCCCTTTCCAATTCATAGTGAACGCATCTATATGTGAACTACTAGGGTCTGCATGCCACGAGCAGTAACTATTTATCTGATTGTTTAGACGGCTTGCAAACAAATCGAAATCGAGTCCGGGGTGGCGCAACATGATCTTGTCAAACGAGTGTTTGTCTAACATCCACTCGTGATTATCTGAGAACACGCGTGATTGTTCATCAGCGCCAGTGTTCAGCCGACCAGCTATGTGCACAGCCGAGAGCCAAATGTTGCGTGCAGTACACCATTCCCAAATTTCAACAGCTAGTTCATTAAGTTGTTGTGATTTTGAACCCCCCATGTTGTTAATGTAAGCCAAAGCTGTCGTATTGTCGATTTGAATTTGGATGTGGCAGTTGCCCATATGGTTGCAAAAACACTTTAACGCAAAAAATGCTGCGAGTAATTCCAATATGTTTATATGAAATTCCTGTTCCAAAGGGGTCCATCTCCCCCCCGTTTTCTGCGTGCCATAAACAGCTCCCCACCCCAGTGTTGACGCGTCTGATTGAATTGAAACGCTTGGATGATCTTGGTGAATATCTCGTTTAAGAGTGTCAGCATTATTGTGCCACCACTGAATCTCTGCTAGCGCGGGAGGGGAGATTTGCATTTTGCCCGCGAAATCACCCTTGTTAGCTATGAGCGCGAGATATTTATCCCGTTCAAGGTGGCGGTAGTGTAGGGGTCCGTACTGAGCCCCGGGAAAATTGGACACCAGAATGCCAATGACCTCTGCGACCTGTCTGATTGTGGGCATTTGTGTTTGTAAAAGCGTAGCACAGACAGACCGAATCCGTTGCGCTTTATCCTCCGTGGGCGTAACTGTCATGGCAATAGAATCCAATACAAAACCTAAGAAGGTCAGTTTCTGGGAAGGGATGAAAACTGATTTCTCAGGATGGACATGAAAACCTAATTGAGTAAAAAGCGTGACGGTGTCAACTACATTTTTATAACATTCCTTGGAGGTGTCTCCTTGTAGATAAGAATCATCAATGTACCCTGAATTGAGATGTCCCATACTCCGAAGTGTGGAATACACGGGCTTCAATAATTTTGTAAATATGCGCGGGGCACTAGCTAGGCCATTCGGCAAACAGGTATATGTGTAGAAAACACCATCAAAATAGAACTTTAAGTATTTCTGGTGAGATGGATGGATAGGGACGGTATAATAAGCGTCCTTTAAGTCTACCGAAGCCATAAAACAACCTGGTCTCATCATGTTTACTGCAGCCTCTAGTGTATCCATTTTAAAATGATGGTAGGCTATATATTCGTTAAGGGCTTTGAGGTTTAAAATGGTGCGGTGCGTGCCATCTTTTTTTCGGCCGCAAGAATATTGTGGATACAAATTCTCCTGTTTCCTGTGCCGCGGGGATAATGACCCTTTTGCGAGCAGTGTATCAATTTCCTCTGTGACAATTGAATGCTGATAAGCGTTGAAGACACTAGGTCTACCATAATGTTGCGTGGGTGCAACACTGTTTATAAATTCAATTTTAACTCCAGTAACAATCTGAAGAATAGAAGGGTCGGTTGTAATAGTTTGCCACTGCGGCAAAAAGTGTTTAAGTTTCCCGGCTTGGAAACTTGGTTGTGAATTTACCAAACTATTTACAATGTCAAGAGACAAAGATGTCGCATCTGCGTTACATACCTCAGGCACCTTTACGGGCGCTGGCTCGTTTCGCCGTCCTTTTTCTTTCTTGGCGGCTTTGAGAAACGGCTTTTCCCTAAAAAATCCGAGGTTTTCCCTCTAGGGTAAGGCTGAAATCTTCTCTGCGAGCCATACGCTGGGCGCCCACCGTACTTGTCATGGCCACGGGAATTCCCGGAATGTTGTGGGCGCACCTTTTTGGTCAACTTGTTGGCCCTCGGTGATGTCTTTTGCTAACTTTGTCAGGTCGCCAAAAAGGAGCTCTGATGAGCCATCCACAGTGGACACATTACAAAGGGCTGCATAGTCTTTATGCATCTCTTTTTTCATGGCCAGGCGTCGGGAGTGATTAACCTCATGGTTGTACTGAAGTGCCATTGCAACGGAATCAGTCAACAAGGTGATCAGCTCCTTATCTTGGCTGTATTTTCCCAGAGCCAAATCGGCGGCCTTTGTCATGGCTGTTATTGCGCCGATAAGGGTGCTTTGTCCTTTCTGCGATCGGACATCCTGTGCTTTCAGGGCAGGGGAGAGCTGGCTCCAAATCGAAGGGTTTACTTTGGGTGTGCGCAAACCCTGTACGTTCTCTGGACGGGGGTATTTGTCTAGCTTTGCCTTTAGTTTCTCCTCCCCCATCTTTTCTGATAAGAGATTGTTGAAGATGGCCGCCAGCCCTTCGCGAAGGGGTGGGGAGGTCTTCTCGCTGACTGTCAGGTCCTGTGCGAGTTCTTTTAGAAGTTCGTCACCCGGCATAGCCTCGTTGTTTTGATCTGTTCCCGCAGCCGCGAGGAGCGCAGAGACATCTGCATCCATGTCCCCAGAATTGGCGGGCTCGTCAACAGAGGCGGTTTCACCGTCCTCATCTGATTCTTCGTGCCCGCTCTGGAGCACGGTGGTGACGTTGTTGTTTAGGCTGCTGAGCTGGCTTAGAACTGGAGCCAATGCAGTCTTAAAAATATCCGCGAAAGTGTTAGCTGAGGGCATATTTTGGCTGGTATCTTGAGCGGCCATTGACGTTCCAGTGTCCGCGCTCTCTGTGCTGTTTTCGGACATGATTCCAATATCGGCACCCAACTACGTTAGGGCCTAAGCTGGACAAACAATTGAGGCAACTACGTTGGCCTCTCCAGCAGATCGTGTTTCGAAGGTTTTAAGCTGAAAAACTGGAGCTTAAAAATTCGTGACTTAACGCGTTAAACGCAAATCGTGCAATGACTTGCGCAAGCGCTGTGCTATCTCATGGGATCTCTGCCTTCTGGTCATGTGATAGAATCCAAAGAGTAGAGTAAGATTTGGCTTGTACCTTTTTTCTCCGCAATAGTCGACTCTCACGCGATGTGGTATTGACCACGAGTATTTTTTCAAGGACAATCCAAGGGCGACAATTTTGCACATTCGTGACTTTTCATACAAAAAACAATACCCTTATGCATGGTATGTCCGAGTTGAGCGCAGAACAAAGTTGTTTTCAACTATTTTTAGCTGCAAAAAGCAAATATTCATCCTCCTTTGTCTCTGTAGTCAATCAAGGCATGCCCCTACCCGAAAAAGACAAAATTAAAAGACACTCACTTCTGTGCACTGGTGCATGCAGTATCCAACAGATAACCAGTTTTTCTGTTTCGGAGGAATAATGTGCCAGCTATTCACTCTAACACCAACAGACACAATCCCAGCGTCATATTTTCGCAAATTGTCGGTGTAGTAGAAACTAAGACCTGAGCTGTCTTTTTGGTCTGATGGAAAAAGTTAGAATCACATCTATAGAAGTGGGTAGTTCAAAGTAAAGCTGTCAACCTCTGTTATTTTTTTTATTTTCATTATTAGTGGTGGTGTTGGTAGTGGTAGTGGTAGTGGTAGTGGTGGTGGTGGTGGTGGCGGTGGTGGTAGTAGTAGTAGTAGTAGTAGTAGTAGTAGTAGTAGTAGTAGTAGTAGTAGTAGTAGTGGTATTGGCAGTGGTAGTGGTAGTGGTAGTGGTAGTAGTAGTAGTAGTAAAAATTATGATATAATAATAATAATAATAATAATAATAATATAATAATAATAATGGAAACTTTAATATGTTTTTGAATGTACAATTGTAAATCTCGCTACGTACAGGCAATTTATAAATGCTGCTTGAGATTAATAATAATAATAAAGAACATGTTTACCCAGGTTGACTGCGTCAGTTTAGAAAAACTGTTATCAATGCAATTCCTACGAATTAAAATCCAGCTAAAAAAACTAAAAGGAAATACTAAAAACTATTTGATATATTATAAATACGAATTAAGACTTACTATTAATGCCTTGCATGCTTTTGGAAGTCTTAAAGCCTCAGGAATATAACTTCATTCTTATTTGTATATTTATTGTTGTGCCTATCACTGAGCGTATATGAACTTAATTCGCTCTGAAAATCTTTCTGAATGGCGTTTGAAATGAGTACAATCACAATGTAGCTTAGTTTTAACCAACCCGCCCTTTCTGGTTGAAGCTGATCCACTCGTAAGATACAATCTCTTCTCCCAGGAAAGGTTATGACATGTAAATGGTAATCTACTTTGTAGACTTGCCCAAAAGTCACGAAAACGAGCAAAGGAGTCTATCGGCTTTGTAGAAAAGTAAAATATCAACCCTTTGAACATTGCTTTTCCTTGCAACATACAGGACGAAACATGTCATCAATAGTAATAAAATTCCTGAGGCTTTAAAATTTCAAAAGCATGCAAAACATTATTTGCCACGTTAGAAATTGAAAAATGAATGATGCAAAAATGAATAAATGAATTGAAAAATGAGCAGACCTTTGACGAAGTTTGGATTGTCATAATGTATTTCCAGAAGATAATTTTTGGGTGAGTCACTTGTTCCGATAGGGAAACCAACATGTGGAGGAAAGTAAAAGTCCTGTAAGAGAGATGACAAAAGAAATAGTCCAGGAGCCTAATATTTCAGAAGGTGACAAGCAGTTAAACAGTTGGCCTTAATGTTATGTATTCTTCTTATCCATTACAGACTCAGTTAACCGACTAAAAGCTTGAGTAAGAACTATACAAAATGCCACTTAGTAAAAACCGGGCTTTGTGATTGGCCGGGAACAAAAACAGGGATAGAATTGCAGTGAACTACGCAGCCCAAAGCCCCAAAAATCTTCCGAGTTCTCGACTCGCCGGTTGTCCTTACAGCTTTGCCGATTTTGGAAGGCGCTTCGAGTGTGAAACGACCAGAAGTAAAAACTACGTTGGAAGGGTAGCACAATCAAGCCCCGTTAAAACGGACACTGTGGGGGTCATAGAAAGTGTCAGTATTAAGCGAGTTGAATTTAGAGAAAATGTAGGGGCTTTATCTCCCGAGGGACAAAGCAAACTGTTGGCAATAATGAGTTGTCCTTATTAAGAGGGTGTCGTCTTTAAAGCGGGCTTTGACACTGTAATTATTGGAGTTAGCCACTCTTGGAAAATCGCTCAGAAAGTAATGACGGCAAGACTCTTTTCGATCTTTTCTCCCGTCGGCGGCCTCCTCTCTCACACAGTATTTTGGTCTTTGTTCGGACTAAATTTGACCATAAAGTCAACACAAATACTGATGAAGGTCCTATTTAGATTGAAATGTATGAGTGTTCTTACCATTGCCCCTACAGCCCAGCCTGCCACAATTGATGAAGACTTGCATTTCAAAAACGGCATATTGGCTCGATCATGACAATTCACGCCCTTGTTGAAATGCTCCTCAGTAAAGTTTCCTTCACACTCGAACAGTAGCATGTGATGCACGAAACCTTCGTTTCCTTTCTGAATATGAGGAACAGTCTAAAAAAAAATAGAGAGTGATTAAATACGTATATATGACTTTCCTTTTGCTATAAATTTCACACGAATGAAATAATTGTGGTCAAGTAAAGAGGTGATTAATCGTCACAAAAACTAACTTCATGATTCATGGGATTAATTGGCACATCCAGGAAGAATAAGAAAAAAAAACCATAGAAATCCATACAGTTTTTTTCCTGAAATTGGAATGGATTTTAAAAGTTACTCTCCAAACCAATTTTAATATAAGTGAGTTTAAGTGAGTTTTTTAGAGTTCATCGGGAATCGAGTTCCAATTCACAGCTTAGCTTCGAACCTAGCAAAAGAACCTTGGTTTTGATTCAGTCTGATGTGTCAATGCAAAAATTGCAGGAGGAAGAAAACTTGATTTCGTGTTCATGCTTTTCATTAGCTTCATTAGCTTTAGTGAAAAGATTACTAAAATTAGTGGGAACAAGTAAACACGAGACGTCGAATATTATTGATTAACTGGTAAGGAGAAAAAAAAACAAAATATTATTATCCTCTTAGCAATTTAGCCACTCCCATTCTTGTATCATTATCATTATCACTATAATTTTCTATTGTTACTTTTCCAACAGCTACCTTTGTGACGTGGTGTTTTGATGTCAGTTCCGGGCCTTTCAGCAGCGTACACATGTAGGTGGTCTTGTCGCCTCCTGGAATTGTCTCCTTTAAGGACAATGTATACGATAATCAGTTGACGTATCACTACGAATTATGGTCTATAAACTTCAGAATCTGTCACAACAATTGTCGTTCATTCTGCAGATTTTTTAAATTTGTTCCACGGAGAAGTGGCCTGCATGTAAAAATCTACTATTTCCTTTTTTGACGTCTGTTATAGATAATGCAATGAAAATATTCCAAAAAAAGACGTCATTTCCCATACAGAGGGTGCGTACTATATGAAAGACAAATCCGGTTCACGGTTTGGTTGCCCAATTACAAAATGGTAAGAGACCTACCAGCACACTAAAGATCTGCGAATTCTTTTAGTTCATCAAAAAATGGCGCGAATGTGTGTGAGGTGATTCTGGAATCGAGCAAGTGATAATTGCAGGAAGGCGACCCGATCTTACTTGGTTTACCGACAAGCCGAACTGAAAGGACCACTTCGCAACGTAAATCCTTTGCATTGAGTTTGAGTTGTCGGAAATTGGCTTCCACCATTAACCTTCCGTCCCGTATTTCTGGAGTTATTTTTGCAGCAGCTTGTATCAAATGTAATTCATGCAACAGAATTCTTTTAAAGCTGAGCTGTGTCACGAAATTTATCGAAATTCAAACAGTGCGAACTGCCACCAAACTTAGTGAAACATAAAAATTAACGCTCAAAACATTAAAGGAAGGTAAAAACAACACTGCAAATACAAAAAAGGGCACGGGTGGACAAACTTGAAGAAGATTGAAACGGATTAAAATACCGTAAAATTCTGAAAATAAGCCCCGGGGCTTATGTTTTTCAAAGGCCCTTTTTGAGGGGCTTATATTTTGAGGGGCTTATATTTGGAGGGGCTTATCTACGGAGGGAAATTTGCGTTTCAAAGTCGATTGGGCTAGCCTTATAGTTGGAAGTAAATTTACCGTTTTTACTTTGTTTTACTTTGTAATTTGAGGGCAATTTTCCAAGTACAAGCCCCCGGGGGGTTATATTTGGAGGGGGCGATTTAACGGAGGGTTTTTTTGCATTACGGGTTTGGGGGGCTTATATTTGGAGGGGCTTATACATGGAGGGGCTTATTTTCGGAAATTTACGCTAGTGGTTTTGAAAACTTGTAAGGCTAACAACTTTTCAAACTTCATTTTTGGTGTTTGTGATGTTTGATATAATTGGGAGACATGTATGTTTAACATAAAGTTGTAATTGTGTCATATGCAAGGAATTTGTTCGCTAATGTTTATTCCATTGCGGATAAGAATGTGTAATTGGGATAAGCAAAGTCGTGCACAGCCCCTTTAGACATACTTACGTTGTTTGCATTAAAAGTGAACTTTTTCCATCCAGTTTCATTAACGTTTCTTTTATCCATACTGTTCAATAGTAGGATGGTTTTAGTGCCTCTGAACTCATGGTATTTCATCTCTGTTGAGGATACTGGATCTTCAGAATGATACGCAAATACAACTTTGGTAGCACCGTCCTATAAAAAAGGAGAGAGTTACCATCCAATATTTTCAGTCATTCATCGAACTTTTATCTCATTTGGTGAACAGTGGTGATTTCAGGGGAAGGGTCAGAGATGTGCAGTCCCCCAAAAAATATATCCGTCAGACCCGATGATTTCTGAAAGTATTGGACAAAGTGCCATGCCTTGAAATTAAAACAACTCCCGATAAAGCCCCTGAAGTTTCACCTGCAACTTTCATCTCGTACCTCAAACATAACAGACCCTTCCGTGTTTTTTTTAAATTCTTTATTAAGAACATTATGTGAATATCCATCGACACTGCTTGCCAAGTTTAAAGGTGGTACGCCTAAAGAGAGAAAATTTATTGCTCTACAAAGTCGCGAAATTGTACAGAGGTTTGTACGGTAGAGGGCACGAACTTGCCCTCACCACACAAACGTCTGTAATAATTCGCGACATTGCGAAGCTATATCTACCCTGGTTACCACAGGTATTTTCTCGTGTGCGACGAGGAGCTTCGTCGGTCGCAGGCCGACTCTTCTTTTGCCGAAGGCTGAGCGCGGGTCACTTTTTAAGACTTAACCGAAACCGGAAACCGCGCATGAAAAGCCTCTGGCACCCAGGGTAAGCTATATCTTAAAATCACTTTCAAACTTGGTAACTTAGATGATTTTAAGGCGTTCTTTCCAGCCGTGTGGACGCATTTTCGCCAATTGGTCCCAATCAGAAGTTGTCAAACCCGTGGAAGGGTCTATTAAAAGAGAAGCCAGCTTTTAGGCTTGGGTAAGTGCTTTTAACCAGTTTTGGAAAAATGCAAGGCAAGCTCAGAAAATTTGACCGGAACGTTTAGATGTGCGCAAGATAGCCAACGAGAGTTCGCGCATGCGCAGGTGAGGGGCTTACAAGATACAAATTCTCAAATCCTTTGTTCGGGACTGAGCGCGTATTTGATTACGTAATGGATTTAAGATCGTTTTACAACCGGAAACACGTGAAAAATTCTGATGTAGCGAAGATATAGTTAGTTTTTTGATCGCCTTTAAACCGGACTGTGAAAGCCTTGTGGATCCCGCCTCTGAAAGCCTTGTGAAACCTACCTTTATAAGCCTAGCAAAAACCCGCCTTTGTGAGTGGTTGAAAGTGAATTGCTATGAATACTGTCTCCTCTATTTGCACATCGATCTTTCATAATACACATTGTTTGCACCCAAACATTTTGCATAACTTTTGCTTTTAATTTCTCCTGGGTATTACAATCGTCCCAACAGGAATTGGAAACATAATTCAAGCAAAACTTTTCCGAGTGAACAAGATATACTTTGGAAGATGTGCAAATAGCAAATGGATTACTTTCCCTTCAAGGGATAATTCAATGAGCAAAAATTAAACACATACCTCAAGTTTCCTGTCACGTGGATCGCAGGTGTCAAATTTCCTCGTGAACTTAAGCAGAGTTTTTCCGTCGCTTTCTTGGAAATCCGCAAGTTTATAATCTTGCTGTCCGTCTATCAGTGGAATTGCTTTGTCATCAGCGTAACGATCCTGCGAGAGAGGTTTTATAAATTTAGCCCGTAACAATGAAAAAATTTATTATAAGTAGATAGCAAAATTGATCAGATTATTAAGTTAACGTTTTATTATTGCCCACAACACCATTGCGGAAAAATAATGTAAATGTTCGTGTCTAGCAGGTTACAGATATGATTCGTTGTCGTTTAGTGTATGTGGCCCGGGGGGGGGGGGTACTCAACAGAGTTTCATACTGGGGAGGCTCTGCCCCGAGGTCCAATTCCTTACCCAACCTTTTATATACCGGGCCTTTTGGCAGCAGACAGGGTACCCCTCTCATATACCTCCTATTGACAAATGATGCCCATTTCACATACCTCATTTAGAAGTTTGCATCTGGCCCTTTTAACTGCTACAAAATGAACTGTCTTTAAAATAGGTATAAATCACAAAACCGGAACGTTTTCTCTTCTTCCTAAAGGCCAAAAAATCTGTTAGCCCGTTTGGGCTTTTCCCTAACCTTTCGACATATGTTTCAACTATCATATACCTGACGCCTGAAAAATGTACCTATTTAGGGCGGAGCCTCCCTGTACAGGCCATTATAGAGACTTCCCCTCCCCCTAGGGGTTACTGCATGGATTCAAGCCGTCGTAGTTAAGCGGAAAGGTGTTTGCTGCCAAAAAAACAGGTGAAAGACAACTGATAAAATTGGCAAAGAAGTTAGGCATGATTGCTGAACTTCATCTCAAAATATATAATTTCTTGATTGTAATAAAATGTCGTTTCCAATTAGACGTACATATAAGAGACGTCCAATTAATAAATCTTAACGGTGACCGCGAACTAGAGCTGTTACGTTCAGTGTGGCTCATTTAGTTCAACAATTTCGTTGTTACAACTAACTCTGTTTCTGAAAATACGTCATTCAGTTTCATGAGCTAATAAAAAATCCAAACGCAGACTCCGCCCCACACTTAGCAATGCTTACTTGCTCTCTCACTGAAGAAACTGAAATACGACAAATAAAGCATCACTGTCATGATCAGTGTCTGTGGCAATATGTTACCTATCTACAGAGGACATGTCGATACACATCATCCTACACCTGAATTATGCAACACAAAGTTGTTAAATATCTCCTTGCGTAATTCCTAACCGTGAAAGTTGTATTTCAATGCTTTGTGAGGGCATGTTAAGAATCTTTACTATGTGACATTGATATGGGTAAGGAGATAGCACAAACGAGTAAACCTGCATGCATTGTTGGATTGTTATTGTTCAGTGTTTGATGTGTTGTTGTTGTTGATTGTTGATTGTTTTTGTTGAGAGAGTTTTATTCGGCGTGGTAAAAAATGTTCTGATGCCCATGAAGTTATGAGTTACTAGGACTATCTTATAAACGCTATCGATCAGTAGTTAACATATAATCTCATTTTCTCTCAGGCTTTCAAATGGGAAAATATACCAAAAATCAATCATTCAAAGAAATGTCTATGTTGTTGTTTTTTTGTTTTGTTTTTTTTGTTTTTGTATTTTTGTTTTTGTTAGTTCTTTTTTTTTTTTTTCACATCATCTTTTTTTTTTCTCTCATCACCGCGGTAGGATTAGCTCAGTCGGTAGAGGGCTTGACTGTAGAGCGGGAGTTTTCGGGTTCGTTTCCCGGGACGGGACCAATACTCAGAGTCTTAAAAATAACTGAGAAATGAAGGTACTGCCTTTGCCCTGCAAACGGGTAGCGTCCCGTCTCCCGTTGGAGACGTAAAAATAGTGTCTCCAATTAGTACTTTAGTGCTAAATACCCTGACACTCAAATAAAGAACTATTTTTTTCTTTTCGAGAGGAGAAAAACTTTGGCCCGACTTTACTGAAACCGGAAACCGCACATGAAAAGCCTCTGGCATCCAGAGTATCTAAACTCCCGATTAGTATACGTAACGAACCAAAAAAAGCTATTCTTGTTTTTGTTCAAGATCGAGGTTTCAATAATTGTGCAGATGATACATGATACAACCATCCATTATCGAAACAAAATAGATTAGTTTGCTAGCACAGACCTGCGCTTTTTATATTTCTTAGATTTTAATCTGTATCTTGACTAGTTTTCGGGCCCGGAACTCTTTACCGACAACAACAAGCTATATTTGCAGGACTACACAAGTACATACAGCATTGCAAAATCTATTTATAATTACGTTTTAAGAAAAAGATCCGAGACTTTCGAAAAACATGATGGACCCGGCCCAGGCCGTACAAAAGAAAAAATGCGTTGTGCAACAGCCTTTTACTGAGAACTTTTTAGTGCGGACTAATAGTGATATATGAAAATATTCACAGTTTCAGAAGTCCCTGACTCCCTCTCTTGATCTTCCCATCCAGTTTCACTGTCTCGGCAATCAGGTTTGTAATATATAACAACAACAAAGCGTTACCTATAGATATTTGCATTATTTAAGTCATCTCTTTACCGTAAGATATCCTTTGTTATCTTTCACCCATCCGATCACGACATCACTGCCAACCATTTGCCCAGAACGACCAGAGAACCCAAATCCAACCCATCCTGTGGTGGCCGCCTCCAAGGCAAAGGAAACAGTTTCCGCGTCCCAATCAACGGTCCAAAACAGTTTCATCTTCTCCGCTGTGTCCAAAACTGCATTGTGAGCGTACTCTGAGAACAGATCTGCGCAAACGGCGCAGTGAAAAGATGCGAGACAAAGAAAAGTAAGCAGCGTAACAGCCATTATTGTTGCGTGTTCCGCTCTTACAACAATATTAATTATCTGCCAAAAGCTTCACTTAATTCACGCAAATTAAATGACTCGGCAGAGACGTCATCGGACGAGGCATGGGGCAGAGATTGTGGATGGCGCAGGGGTGACGGTACTCTGAGGATACAACTACAAATTTGTCGTCGTATGTTATTAAGACCGATATTTTTAAATGTATGTACGGTAGTAATTTTTCTCTAGAAGTTCCCTGATCGATCCCGCAAGCAAAAAACAAGCAAAACAAAGATAAAAGATATTTTCTCTTGGTATAGCTCTGGCCCCGAGGAAAGCTAATATTGTTAGCCGAAATATTGGCCTATAATAAATCAGCTCTTTCAAGTAGTGCCAGCCCTGCATTAAGTTTTGTTTCAAAACAAACATCGCCCGTCTCTAGCTATAGAAACCCTAGCTGCATTATTATAATTATTTTTTACCCGTCTAAGTGTATTTTACACATTCAGGAACACTTGACGTGTTTGAAGATTTAGTTCGATTCTCCATGATAAACCCGCATCTAGTTAACCCTATTTTCAGTCTTTTTGGTTTAAACAAGCCTGACAAGTGGTAAGAGCAGCGTCATCTAACTGCATTACCCCTTATCCCGTTACAAGACAGTTTCGCTACCCCCGGAAAAAGTGTGACTCCGGTCTTTGACACCCGAGATTACGCTGACTTCGAGAAACTTGATGAGTATTTCAAGACCTTGCAGGGATCTGTGCCCCGTGTAAGGTAATCCACGCCATAAATCCAAGACAAAAATATACCCCTTCAGTCAGTGGACCTTGGATTCCGGTTTCAATCGTTAGAGCAACTAGCTATAAAGAATTGAAACCTCACCATATGAAGTACAACGCCCGCAATGTTATGAATAAGCGAGCGTTACGTAAGTTGGGCTTATGTAACAGCGAAACTATGAGGATTTACGAGCTAATTTTAACCTTCTCCGTCAGTGTTCTCTAGGAACAACTTTTTTAGAGTGCACACATTAACAAACGATTAACATGCTTGATACGGGTACAAGTTCCCGTGAGAGGAAACGGCCCTGGAAGCGTAACTGATCTAATTTTAATTTTTAAAATATACATATTTTATGTAAAACTTGGAGACTACGTCTAAATTTTGTTCATTTGTAACAGTGCTGATTTCATGATACGCCGTCTCTGCGCCAAATATTACGTTAAAAGAAAATGATTTGGTATCAATTAAATAGATTCGTACCTCTACCATTATGACAGGTAATGCAGTGAAAATAAGGAAATACTTGAATAAATTGTCGTTTTTGTATTGTTATCTTTGTCAGTAATTTTTCTATACTTAAGTGTTTACTACATGCTTCAAATATCCGACGTCAACCCGTGAAGTGATATAAGGTATTCATCAAATAGCATGTCTATCCACAGCACAGCTAGTCTCCCTTAATCTGCTCGGGCCGCAGTCACGCAAATGCACAGCGAGCCCCGCGGTCTAATATATCAAATTTTAAGATGCTCTTAAATTAATTTTCTAAGGCTCGTTTCAAACGTCGTATACATTAGAATACATTTAAAAGTTTACTAAACCGTTTCTCTATTTTTCTGTTTTGTTTTAGGCAACAGCCGTTCTATTCGACTGAATTAAATTCGACGTCTGAAACCAATTGCAAGTCGTGCTAGTGTCGAGCTGCAGTCGAGCTACAGTCGAGCCAGCTTAGCACGGCAGTAACACGACGTTTGAAACAGGGCTAAATCACTGGCATGTATTAACACTGCGTAGCGCGCAGGTGCTCCCATGACCTTCAAAGCTATCGTTACTAGTAGCATAGCGGAAGCCAATGATGTTATAATATAATCCAATGGCAAAAACTTTATAAGTCTTCCAACAGGGATCTTACGACCTATTTCACTAAAGTGATATAAAGCAACAACTAAACTAGAAATTTTCAATAAATTTAAGAACCGTGTGACGTGATACGAAGAGGTCGCAACTATTGTATGCGAATAGCTAACTTCTTAGTTACTGCGAAAACAAGTGGAATAAACTCTCAAACTAAGTTAAAATGCGAATACGCGTGACGATTGGCAATGAGTTCCACAATCACTTTTTAGTTAAATCATGATTGTTGTGCCAGTGCCATGCAGCACAGGGCAGTCATTTTGGAGTGTAAGGTTTGTTGTTAGTTATTGTGATATATTCAGTGTGAATTTCAGATTCCTTTTGAAACATCATGTATGTTAACCAGGTAACTTCGTGCCTGATTGTTCATACACTGAAATATCTGATCGACGTCTCTAAGCCTAAAAGCTCCAGATCCTGGACCAAACTCAAACTTGCTTTTGGAGTTTTAAATTTTAAAGAAGTGAAAAAATAAACCAATCAAAATCACTTGCGCGCCATTTTGGCCTTCCAAAATCATTCTAGTCAACCGACCGCGGTAATCAACGTCTCTCTCTTTCTAAACTGAGGCAGCACTCTGGAAAGCCGTAAAACTGATTACAGGGAGAAAAATTTATCCTCCAAATTTGCAGTCTAACTAATAACCACGGAATCAATGAAGGCCTTTCTGATTCTGATTTCACTTATTAAAAAGGTTATACCATAAAAAAACGCTTTGTTCCTGAGTCAAAGAGATCGATTTGAGCTACACGGTCGCTTCATGAATTATAAACGGATTTTTTCTCCTCTTCGCCCTCTGTGTTAACGCCTCCAGTAAGATAGAAGAACGGCCGCACACAGCATCCTTGTAAAGAGAGCGAAAGTAGCACACAAATGATTCGGCGGACCAAGAGATGACACTTCGGAACTTCGGAGCCCTTCGACTCCTTTTCGTTGAGAGGATCAGTAACTTTCGGTATTGGTACAGTAAAGTCAGCATTCTTTATGTCCTGGTAAATAACTAACAAACAAAATAGCGAAAAAATTGCTATGCATTAACTTTATCCGCAACTTCAGAGAGCTCTATTCTATTGCGCATGGCCAGAGGGCCGTCACGCCCTTCGCATGACAGAAGGACAAAGAAGGACTCTGGGGAGAAAATCCTTAATTAACAATGACCGAGTACGGAGCCCAGTAAGCGCCATTCAAATTTTGCGCTCAATTTTTTCTGTCTCGACTTTTTTCTCGCCTTTAAGTTTTTTTCCCGACTTTTTTCCCAACTTTTTTCCCGACTTTCTTCTCGACTTTTTTCTCGACTTTCTTCTCGACTTTTTTCCCGACTTTTTTCCCGACTTTTTTCTCGACTTTTTTCCCGACTTTTTTCTCGACTTTTTTCCCGACTTTTTTCCCGACTTTTTTCTCGACTTTTTTCTCGACTTTTTTCCCGACTTTTTTCCCGACTTTTTCCCGACTTTTTTCTCGACTTTTTTCCCGACTTTTCCCCCCTTTTTTTTTCCACCACTGATCACATACGCATGCGTCAATGGTTCATTTCGGCACGTGGGGAATAGGAACAACCACTCATTCCACGTTAAGTGGGTAAATTACCATTTTTTGGTGTCCATGGCAAGTTTTGGGGACTCAAATTGTTTTCCTATAATCATTTCGCTGAAAAATACTTAAAATATGCCCAAATAAATAGCGACAGTACCCCTTCGTGCTCCTGTAGACAGTAACTTTGAGGGAATCAAGGCCAAAAGTGTCCAAAAAATGCAATTTTGCTATGTCCACAGAGAGGGTGGGTATAGAAGGTTACGGTATATTTGTGCTTGTCGCCTTATACTATGGAAACTAATCAATCCAATGTCTCGGAAGGGACCTAAACTAAAGTCCTACATGATCATTTCTCACTGCAGGTCAGTTTTGTTGCATTTAACTACAGTGAACTGGTGTCCGCTATTTTTATGAAACTTCCGTTACCGATCTGAGAGCAGATCACAAGTGGCCTAGAAATAAATACTGCGAATGATTTACATCGGGTAAATATTACTTAAGTTTGCTCTTTTTGATACGCAATACAGAAAATGAAGAGCAAAAGCCTGTGGAAAGAAATTCCCTCTCACAATAGCAGAATTTAGGGTGAACAGTTAAGGTTGTAACTTCCGTTACTAAGATTACAGTACGAAAAAATTACAAGTGGGTCGTACTGATTTTTTTATTATCTTCATCAATTCTCTAACAGTCTCTTTGCCACCAACTAGCCCGTGATCAACTACCAGCCTCTGAATCATTTGCCTATACCCAATAGTGCTATCACTGCCTCGTAGTTCCTCCTCGATAGCTTCGCAAACCTGCCGTGGATCAGTCCTATTAGCTCTTCTTCCAAGACAACGACATCTCAGTATTCGCTTTAGTTGACGAATACTTAAGCAAATGCCGTGGAAAAGAAACAAACACATCAAGATCTCGCTGTAACCCAGACCTAGATGAAAGAAGTGGTCGATTATGTCGTCACGTTCTGCATGTGCTGGGAGAGAGAAATAGCCTGGCAGAACACATGTAGAGGGAATTACTATAGACAGCAACATCGTATAACGAAAAATTCTTGCGGCCATTTTGATTGCGCTTAAATGTCAGCGGATTTACTCCAAAGTCAGGGGGAAAAGTCGGAAAAAAGTCGAGAAAAAAGTCGAGAAAAAAGTCGGGAAAAAAGTCGAGAAAAAAGTCGGGAAAAAAGTCGAGAAAAAAGTCGAGAAAAAAGTCGGGAAAAAAACTTAAAGGCGAGAAAAAAGTCGAGACAGAAAAAATTGAGCGCAAAATTTGAATGGCACTTACTGGGCTCCGTACGTATGTGATCAGTGGTGGTCAAATTAAGTTGGCCGGACATCAGCATTCAACATTTGTTTGTGTTTTAATTTAATTGTTTCATTTTTTAATTATTAGATTATTTATTATTGTTCATTCAAAATATTTCCCCGATTCTGATTGGCCAAAATCACACGCATAATTCACCATAACCAGCTACTGAGGACCAAATTTGGAAGAATTTTGCGATTAATCAACCGATGACGTCAAAAGTGCAGCTTCCTTGCAGGTAATGCACCGTTAACCGAGAAGACCTGGGGACGAGGTTAAGTTGGCGTACATTTCACTCGTGTCAAGAGTAAGAACTAGGCGAAATAATAGCTAAAAACATGGCAAGAACAGCAAGAAGACAACTCGAAGGGCGACATCTGCTCTTTGGAGAATATTTGCGGAGCTGAACAACCTTGGGATCTTTTTTCCAAGTTTTCTAAAACTGCATGAAGTTCGATCTATAAATTTCTCAAAATTCCTTCATGAAACTGAAGCGGCTGCTATTTGTTTTGTTATGGAGCGTGGGGGTAGAAAGAGTCAGCAAAACCCCAGAACACGCGTGCATGCACAGATCAAACTGGTTTATCCAGTATGAAACTTGTCTGACTTATCCAAATCGCGGGATGATCGGCAAATCAAAGGAATTTGAAGATGTCGGCAGAGTCGCTTCCTCTTTCCCGACCTATCTAGGAAAGATCGAGGTGACTCTGCTAGCAGGATAATTTCGAAACTGAGAGGCCATCAGTATTTTTTATTTGTTTTTGCGTAGACGTCGCCCGGATTTTAAAGCTCGCGCCATACTAGTGCTCAGACTGCGCACGGCCAATTTTTTCTAGGGAGCCACCTTAAGTGAAATTTCGGTTTTTTGTCATCCAGAAATTTTGCTAATATGGAAACGTGACGAAAAGACTTCTCGGCAGACAAAACAAATAACGGAAATTGTTCCTGTGTCCGTGTTGTCTGGAGTATTGATCGTAGATTAATTTTCATGTCCACAAATTTGGAATATAGAGAAAGAGAAAGACAGAGAAAACGAGAGGTAGGCGACAAGCTAGCCGGAAGCTGCGAGACACAAAAAACAAAGGAGACGAATTTCGTTGGAAAAATAACACGAAAATTTTGTTGCCGCGGTGAGAAAATGGGAAATGCTAGCGGTCAGCAAGGTGAAAATGTGTTTCTGCAGTAAAAAAAAAAAAGCGAACAGGAAAACAAGCATCAAAATTTTTTGTGAGCACATAAGACATTTTCTCCACAAAACGTGCAACTACTGAGGAAGTTTCACATTGCAACAACAACAATGGCAAGGAAATGTACAAAAAAGAGCGCTGCACGTGCAAGTTGCAAGTTGTTTTTTTGCAGAATATTCCGTATACAAGATATCCGAAGAAATATTTTACCCAAATTTATAGAGATTTGTATGGAGACGCCATGCTGGTGCCCACCTGGATGGGCACCAACATGGCAGACGGAAACCAACAAAAACATCTGTTACCGAGTATTGGTACAAAAGAGTAGATTTATTCTTCGAGGAACTCATATTCATATAAGATGGCTCAAGATTATAAATGAAGAGGGATTGCTGGTGATTATGTGGAACTGTCTGATCCATTTTTTTTAGCAGTTCTCGTTGCCGTCGCCGTTTAGCGTTACACTATTATATTTTTTGAGTAAATAATAGGTATATTAACGAGAGCCTAGCTTTTAGCCCTGGCTAAGTCTATATATGGTGTAGGGGGAAGGGGGTGTAAAATGATCGCCGGCGCGCCGGGTTGTCATTCTAATGAGTGGGTTACGAGTGACTGGCGCAAAATAAGGACCGTAATTAGGAGTATTTCTGATAGGCAACTTAGCCCCGTCAAAGCGTAGCCTGCTCAACACTTAGGCGTCATTAGGGGGAGGGGGTGGGGGGTGCTCGAAGGCTACGTTAACTTTGATCCGTATGGCGCGTGGATGATTAATGGCGGCAATCGTATCATGATTGTGTTCCATTTGTACTGCTGCAGTAAGCGTAAATTGTCTATGATACTTACAGCCAATGCTGTTACTTGCTCGTTTTGTCACGTTATTAACATTTTTATTCAAAACATTATTCAAATTTCTTGAGTTACTATTTTATTTCTCTATATAAAATATCAGTAATTGGATAACCATTATGAGATACAGTAACCATGAAGTTATCACACATCGTACACATCGTACTCCCTAAAAAACTGCCTTATTACACCCCTACTTTCCCATAATGGCCACTTCTTTACAACGGCCACTTTCGTCTGTCCTCGAGGAGGAGGCCGTTGGGGAAGGTTCGACTGTTACATCAAAATTTCTAGTTTATCGTTTTTGACGTGAGACTAGATGCTCATTCAGGATCAATTTGAGCTGATAAGTTACAGGTAAAAATATAGTTTCAAACTGTCGCCAGTGCTGAATGTTTTTACTGAGGTATAAACTGCGGGTTCTTATATACAGGAAGCCAAAAACCGCTGAGGATCAAATTGATCTGATTGGCTAACAACAAGATTTACTCCACTCTGATTGGTTGATAAATTTAGGTTGGGTATATGGTCCTTGCCATGACGCACTTAGCATGCGCGGTCAAAGTCACCGGCCACAGCCTTGTAGAAGAAAATAAGGGTATATTCTCTAAAATAACAGATTTGACTTGGAAGGATAACTAGAACACGTCTATTAAAGACGTTGTTAGCCATGACTGAATACAAACTTGTGGTTGTTGGAGGTACCTTTAAGCTTCGGTGCTACTTGACTAATTGTTTCTGTAGACCCTTCTTAGTGCGATCGCTAAGAAGATTTTATTTGGTGCCAAGCGGTAACTGCTGCCTGTTTTACTTTTTCAGCTGGAGGTGTTGGAAAGAGCGCTTTGACTATACAGTTGATTCAAAACCAGTAAGTAGTTTAGTGACAAACAACCTCTTCTATGTCAATCGGAATAATTGTTTTCCTTCCTTCTTTTAACGGTCGATCAAGTTCGATCGTGTGTCTGAGCTCATACATGTTGACCTCGCCTGAAAATACAGTATTTGGGAATCGCCGATCATTGTCAAATATCACTCTGAAATCATCCTTAGTAACTTTTCCTATTGCACTCATTTCATAATGAATTCACGTTTGTAACGTACATGGCCTTGCTAGTACACAAGCTTAATTTTAATTACAGTCAGAAATTACAGTCGCCCAATTCGCGGAACCTGCCGCCGGTCGATTAACCACTTTCAGAGCTAACTTGTGCTTTGTGTAATTGCCAACCTGTACCCCATGGTACCTGCAGACTTAAAGATTTCAATCAAAACTTACTAAGAACACCTCTTGGTAAATGACGCTGAAGAAGCTGGCTATTCCACTAAAACGTGCATTGCATATTTCACCCTCTTTGCATCTGCGAAGATCATCTTCCTGAGACGAAAAATCTCAGTTTACGCCGCATAGAATGTTCTAGGACGTAGCCATAGGCCATTTTATTAAGGTATTTGCACTTAGATATGATACGAGGGATTTTTGAGTCTTAAAACGTGTTTGGTTGCAGATATATTTCTTTGGGAAAATGCGTGTTGATGTGTAATTTTGGGCTGGTGGAGGTAAGGAGTGGTAAAAGGGGTGTGGATCAAGGGTGGGGTGGGGTGGGGCGATGTTTAGATAGGAAAGAATAGAAGTTGTTTAGTAGTGATTAACTTGGGGTTTACATTTTCATTTTCAGCTTTGTTGATGAATATGATCCAACCATTGGTAAGTATCTTTTAACATGTGAAAATAATGCATTTCTTTGGGAAGTGTCTACCTAAAAATAATGCTGCACTGGCTATGGCTAATTTTCATGCTGCATTAAAACATTGCTAACTAGAAAAGGGATTTTCTCGCTTAGTTTGACCAGTACAGAGTACATATATAAATGTGTTTGCTTGTGCAAATCGCCAATAATCAGTCTGATTCTTTGGTCTGTCTGAGTCATTTATGAGTTATTTATGTACCTGTACCAAAAATTTTAATTGACTTGTGCAAAGCTCATCTTACTGTAATAAAAAAGAAATCACAATACTTTGCCATTGACAGAAAATGGTATATCCATACAGGGTGGAAATAAAGTCATTTTTAAAGCTTGCCATTCGGGCAAGCTGAAGCTAGCATAATACTGTCCCAAACGTCATTTCAACTAGCCCCAAAAACATTTGATGAGCAGACTATGCTTTAGTCCTCTTCCGGTTTCACATATCCTTTCTTTCGTAAATTACTGTTTTAACTCTGACAATGAAAGTTCAGTGAAATTTGTAATTTTAAACTTTTTAAGCCAAGTTAGAATTTAAATATAATATATTCTGCCCAGGTTTAAAAATCATGTTGTTTTTAATCATTACAGAGGACTCATATAGGAAGCAAGTTGTTATCGATGGAGAAACATGTTTACTGGTATGTTGTGTGTTTAGCATAATACCACAGATAACCAATTTTGTGCATACAGTGCATATATTTCACCTGCATATCACACCTTTGACCATTATATGTGAACACTTTTTCATTTAATTGATGTCTGATTTTTGTTTAAGTCCGTGCGCCATAAATTTTGTATTATTATTAAGCAACCATTTTGGTCACCATGGCGAGTGAAAAAATATTGATGACTAAACTTGCAGCGAGAGTTGACTTGGCGACCTGTGTTCAGTGGTCATGCACCAATATGTACAAAGTTCCTTTACCTAAAGTTAAATTGAGATAAACAGTATTTTGCAAGAAATATTATATTATTTTACGCTCCGTATTCAAGACAATAATTTATTATTCTTCTTTTCCCCCGGGTTGTCCTGGTATGAACTGTGGGACATCCAAATTCGATTGCGACAATGTAAGCATGACAGTTGCGCAGCCATAATGATAAGACAAGCAGGAACTGGGTCATATGTAACAAAAATGGGGGTATCTTGGACATTGTGATTGAAAAGCTCTTTTTAATTATATTGCTCTCTGGGTTTGTGTAACGGCACTTTAGACATCAAGCAAGTTAAAAACAATGAAAATTTTGGGCTGTATATAATCAAATCACGGGTTAAAAATTTGTTTGACAAATAAGTATGACATGAAAACTGATTTCCCATGAGAAAAAGTATTCGTTGCATGTGCTCTAGTGAAAAACAAAGCTGGGAAAATGCATCTGTTCTTACGGGCATCATCCAGGCTTTGCGAATTAAGAAAAAATTAACAGAGTTTCAAGTTTTCATCCTAAGTGTACAATACTTGAATATCAAAGCAACTCCGGAAACTGCAATATTGTAGATTTGAGTTTTTTTAGTAGCCGACATCAAGATCCGACAAAAATTTCGTTCCAGACAAGGTACTGGATTAAATGGGTTTAAAATTACTGTAATAGGCGTTACACAAAGTAACGTGGTGCTTTTCCCAGCAATAGGTAATGGACTAGTTTCGGCTTCATATATGTAAATTGGCCATCAAGACTGACTGTTGCGTTTGTCAATTGCACTGGCAGAAGAGCAACAACAACAACTACAACGATAACTTTATTTTTTGAACAAAAATACAAAAGTTGTATGGTTTGCCCCACAAATAGCTGGAAAGCTAGTTGTGATGGGGCAAGACAAGTACATGAATAACACAAATTATCTAATAAAAACAAAAACCTTTCGTAGCTTGTCATTACCCATCATACTGAATTGTTTTCAGAATATGTAGGTTCAGGATGAGAAGAATTCGTGAATTAGGATTGGAACACACAAAAACACGTCTGCACAGCTCAATGCACATGTGTATCAGAGCAGGTTAAACAGTATAACCATCCCAATAAAAAATTTTGGGATTCTCTGCTGAAGTAATTTAAATTTCAACTTGCATTATTATATTTTGAACAGGATATTCTGGACACTGCAGGTCAAGAGGAGTACAGGTGAGGATCTGCCTTCAGTATTTTGATTTCTAAACAGTGAAACCTCTAATAAGTGGACATCCTTTAGACCCTCAGTGGAGGTTTGTTTTGTAAAGAAAATATGGGAAGAAAAGAGAGAAAGATCCTGTTCCCCTCTTAACAAATGTTACCCACCTTAATGATAAATTTAGTGGCAGTAATGAACAGTTTGACCTTTTATTGCATGTACATTGTTAGTTTCAAAGAGCAAAACTCCTGAATAAACACTGCATTGCCCTGGAACACTGTGGCACATTTTGTTTGCTTTGCACATTGTTGATGCTGATTAATAATAGCTGTTGTTGTTATTTACACTGTATGTGTACTTGGAAGGGAAAATAGACCTTTTTTTTACAAGCTGCTGATTGGCACGCAACCAACTTTCTTGGAATGCATTGTTATTTTCCTGTAATCTGATCGGTCAACTTTGTCTAAGTGGCCTCGGTTACAGCAGTCGCATTGTAAGTGGGTTGAATTTAGAAACGTTCTCTAGGAACGAAGCCAGCTGTCCATAATAATGAGGGGTCTATATTAAGCGGGTGTCTGTTAAGAGCGCAGTTTGACTGTACTGTTACATGTTCATGAAAATAGAAAGTTAAATGATATTATCCACCCCCGAATTAGCACAATAATGATACGCGCTCTATGTTGCTCTCTCAAGTACATGAAATTACATCAGCAATAAAAGGTGTCACTAATATCTACACTGTTCATGTAGCAATGTACAGGAGATAAAAGCTAATTTGACAATTTTTGATAAAAGTTATTAAATTGTTTTCATGATTTTTGTAGTGCCATGAGAGATCAATACATGAGAACAGGAGAGGGTTTCCTTTGCGTCTTTGCTGTTAATAACAAGAGATCTTTTGAAGAAATCCATGCATTTAGACAACAGGTACATGTACCTTTAAAGAAGTTGCTTCATATGGATTCACATCGTTAATGCAAGTTAAGAATTTTTCATTAGCGTCTACATGATTTCTGTGATGTAAGCTTCATGTACATGTACCTTTATGACTCTGCAGTATTATTTGGGTTAGGATTTCTAATAATACATGTACAAAACTGTGAAATACTACCACACAGGTTGTCGAAACATCAGTCACTGTCAACAACAACAGTCCTCCTATTCAGGACTATGTTCACCCAGACGATCAAACTCAACCTACTTTTGAAATACATGTACAGGTGTGCATTTTCAAGAAATGGTATTAGGTTACTGTTTTTAAGCTTTTTGGCTGGAAACATTGTTTTCGATGTATTTCTGTGCCTGTTTTTTTTTTTTTTTCATTGCCTATTCTTTCTTATTTGCCAGATCAAACGAGTAAAGGATGCAGATGAAGTACCTATGGTTTGTAAGTGTTTATGTACTTGCTTTCTGTTTTATTAGTTTGGGCAAATTCCTTTGGGAAAGCTACATTGCTGTACTTTTGCTGCGATAAAAACAGCCAAAGAAGAATTTTTATTCCTACGTTATATTCTGTGTAACCTCCATAATTTCCCACTTGTTCAGAAATAATATAGAACAAAATTTGCTCCTCTTTCAACTTGGGAAAATGCAGTTGAACATCCACTAAGTGGCCACCTTCGGGGTACCAGCAAGTGGTCGCTTAAAGGGGGTAGGGATTGGTAGAGGTTTGTCATGAATTAGGTTACATGTAGTCTTTAGCAGAAACAATACTTTACATTGAAACAAACACCCAAGGCTAGCAACATGAGTTGTCTACAATCAGTTGTCATCTTCTACATGACTGTACATGTATCTAGGCCAGTATGTTCCTCCATTATATTTGTAAAACAAGAATCGCTGAAAGGCGATTTTTAACTAGGCTGCAAAGGGGCTATTTGTTCTGAGGGGAGGGGGCGGCTATACACACTCAGGCTACCATAAAACCTTGTCGGCAACCATTGCATGCAACAGGATCTCATGTGAGACTGAAACATAAACTCATTCAGAACATTGTACCCTTTTGAAAGACTTTCGTAACCAAAAAAAAGAGTACCATTTTTAAGTGGGGGCTGTATAATAACTTTTGAATTCCACCATTATGAATAAAAATAAACAAGTTAGCCATTAATTCTAAACAGGAAAAAATTTGCATTATTTCCACGCACCCCTCCCCCAATCCCTCTGTGCCCCAAAATATAGCGTAACACTATAGCATGACTAATTTGACGTAACCGGAAATTCCAAAAATTGTGTCCTTCTACGAGTATAAAATGCGACAGACTGAGCTGATTTGCACTAGACAGAAATATTGTATTGTAGGAAAACCAGAAGTATACTAAAACAGACGGTTAACTGCCCATTGATCCCGCCTGATCCAGGGGCCTCACTGACTGCACGGAGACTTTACTGCGCTTTTCACAAACAGTCATGCGAACTCTAAAGTTCAAAAGCCACCTTCACAATTGTGTTTATCGCTGCTGTCAATCATAATTACGATCACAAGCAACAAACCTTGAAACAGAGAAACACACAAAACGGATCGAAATCCACAAATCACAAACCATGACCTTTTGAACCCGTGAAGTAAAGTTTTGTTTCCTAAGAGGTCCGTTAAGATGATTGACAGCAGTGAAAAACGCAATCATTGGTTGGGTTCTGAACTTCAGAATGCGCATGTTTGTGAAAAGTGCGATCCTAATTTGCGGTCCACAGTCTACATGAAAACGCACTTTTTTTTCCACAAGATGAAAAATATTCAGTTTTAAGATTTTCCTCATGGTATTTTTCTCTAACTTAAAGGAATAAAATCCTTTGCATTTTGAGACCTAAAAAAGTTTAAAGATTTCTCGCTCGCATGTTGCGTTCACCAGCACGCACTTCAAACAATGTAAATAGATGAAACGATCGATAACATTCTGATCACATCTTCAAGCGAAGTCTCTCTTTTCAAGCGATTCATCTCAATGCACAATAATTGACCCTTGTATTAGTTAAAATCCTATGTTTCATTTATATTAATGCTGTTTTTACCCCTCACATTGACTGTGTTCGTTCGTATTCAAAACACCTTTACGAAAATAAAGGCCGTATAAGTCATGTGTGTTATGTTTCGAGATAAATGGATTATACGCTTTTTTAAGTTTCCATTTTGCGGTGACTTCAGTTTACATCTCCATAAAATGGTAAAAGAAGTATCAAGAAACATCACGAGAGCTGAAAATTTTCAAAGGCATGTTTCTGAAACTCGCTAATGCTGACATCAATATAGCGTGCTTGCTGAATGGGTGAAAACACAGAATTGTGATCACAAGATCTTGTACAAATTTAATGATAAAAGCTTAGCACGATACAGATACAAACAACAGCAAACCCCCTGAAACCTCGACGTGAGCCACACTTGTGTGCTCTACTCAGTCACCAAACCTTGTCAGAAATAGCTCCTATTTTCCTCAAGTCGCTCTCTGTGAAGCTTCTGGATGGGATGTCCCGGAGAAGCTTTAAACTTGTGTGCGAAATTCTCAAAGTTCCTGTTTTTGTCCGTGTCTTCTTTATATTCAGTATCCAAAATTTAGACCTCCAAAGTGGCGTGTGTTTCATTAAATAGAAGGAAATATTTAAAGGAAAAGCCAGTCTTCTAACATGGCAAAGTTGTCACGTCCCTCGCTCATGGACGTGCGTCACATCAGGATTTCATCTGCCATTCATCGGCAACTGAGTTGTTCGCTTCACTGACTATGACGGCTTACAATCAAGTCTTCAGCCAAAGTGTCGTCAACTGGTGAAATACTTTGCTCATAAATTGTGCTTCTTAATTGCTCATGTACTACATTGATCGATAGTTCACGAAGCAGCCACGGCGTTCCAAACCTGACGCTCACAGTCATCTTTTCAGTCTTTTAGTGTGAACCTACCATGAACGGCGTGTCGGTTTGAATGCAACGCGAGCATTTCTCTGAGTTTCCCAGCGCCAACATCATCTAACTGACTTAAACTCGAACAATAACAAAATTAATAGAGTGATTTCCATGGTCGAATCGCTTCGAACAACGCAAATAGCCTTCTTCAGGTTTGCAACGCCTTGTGGGTTTTTCGGGGGAGCGCAGACAAGGTACAAAAAGTATCCGTGCAAGGCTCCGTGCAAGAGAAACTCATATGAAAACATTTGTGAGAACATCGTTTCTCGGTACCAGACCCTCGCGTCTTCCCTTCCCCGGGAGACCACTTTTTGACACCGACGACCGAAAGCCCATTTTATGACTGGGCCGCACAGGCAGCCCAGTAATAAAGCCAAAATAAGTGTATTAAGGGCTTGGTGGCCACTTAATAATAGAGGTGGAAATAATAGGAGAACTCTCGTAAGAATACCAGTTTTCCCTCAAAGTTTTCGTGAATCGTCTCTATAGATTAGAAGAGGGTGGCATTAAGGCATATTAACAAGGAAAAGGCCTCACTTCTGTTTGACATGCTTTATTTAAAAATGTCTAAAGTTGTGTAAGTTTTCTAACATCATTTTTTGCTCATATCCTTTGTAGTATTTGTAAACTCCTCTGTGCCTCACTGATAGAAATATGTACATGTACATGTAATGCAAGGAAGTGGTTGAAGTGAAAATGATCATTTGAATGATTTATCTTTCTCCCAGTGGTTGGAAACAAGTGTGATCTTCAGAGGACAGTGATGTCATTGGAGGCGCAAGGTCTAGCGACAAGTTATGGAATCCCATATGTAGAAACTTCAGCAAAAACTAGACAAGGTGTTGAGGACGCCTTTTATACCCTAGTGAGAGAAATTCGAAAAGATGTAAGTAATTGTGTGTAAGGGAAATAAGTTTGGGGACTTTGTCTACTGTCCACAGTCTTAAAAGAGGGTTAATCGAGGGTGTCCGTTCAATACTGGCAGGTTGTTCACTAGGCATCGGAGATTGGAGATTTTTCTGTTGACTACGCAGAATTCTCCAAAGTCTATTGTTCGGTAGCTTATGACTTCAGTAGAACCCCGGTAACTCAAGTTCTGAAGGGAAACAAAAAACAGTTCAAGTTAGCGGGCAATTCAATTCATCGGGGTAAATTTGAATGAAAATTTGATCAAGGGAAAGGAAATTTAGTTAGAGTTATCAAGGTTCTACCTTACAGAATTTAGATCAATTTCGGTCTCTGGAAACTGCCCACCTACCCCTCCCCTAAGCCAACATTTTGCCCTAAGTGAGAAGTAAGTGTTAATGTTAGCTTAGGGGAGGGGTAGGTGGGCAGTTTCCCAGAGACCTAAACTCATGCAAGTATTTTTCATTGAGAGGTGGAGCCTCTTTCAAAAATAATTTTCTCCTGTAAACATTACACCTTTCTCCTGCTACTTGGATTAAATACAATGAAAACCCTGAATACAGGTTTCATAAAACTGTGGTTACCTTATTCTCCCTCATTATATGTAGTATATTTTAAGTGCTACAGTTTCAAATCAAATGATGTATTACTGTCAAACTAAGAAAACTTTGACCACCTAAAACATTACGATGAACCACAGCAATGATTGGAACATGTGAGCAAGCCACAAAATCACTAACTACATGTAATTACCATTGTTGCTTGTGGTATAGTTTTCACATGCCTGTTTGGCATTTTTCTTGGAACAAAATACCATTCCAGAAAAAGTTGTTTATGGTTTTCTGAGTTTCTCTGGAGTTTTTTTACCATGGAAAATGTTAAACAGTATGAAGTTAAATCAGTCAAAGAAAAACATTAACATTAATAATTTATATCCTTGTGCTTAAACAAAGTTAAGAAACATCTTTACATTACTTCTCAATTTATCTTTTATTCTTTTATTTAATAGAAAGGAAAGAAACCACTTCCTAAGATCAAGAAGAAGAGGAGATGTATAATCTTATAGCTCTGTTTTGTCATCAGTTATATGCTGTTAAATTTAGTGAATCCAGTCATACTTTAATTGCTACACACGAAGCTTGCAGGTTTTTGGCAGTATAATTTCCAACTTTTTGTGGTCAGACCAAAATATAGAGCTTCCTGTTGCGAACAAATTTTAATTCACTGAGTACTGATTTTGGATAAGAAAGTATACTGTAGCTTAAATGATATGAAGCATGGATTGCCTTGTAGGAAGATTCACCATGAATTACATGTAACTCATTGGTCAAATAATGATATGACAGTGGCAGTGGTATTGTATTACTGAGCATACCCAAAAAGTAGACAACACAAATTAATTACTTTGTAATGTCTTATTTTCTGGACATGGTGTGCTTTAGAATACAATGTAATTTTATTTCCAATATAATATTGATGGTATAACTTTTCTCAGTTATCATTTGTCAAATGCCTATATTACATGAAATTGACAAAATAATACACTATAAACTTCACAATACACTTCATTCTCTGGCTGTAGATGGTGCATAGTTAATGAAACTATATTTTGTTTCACATGTTTATTTTGACTTTTTGGTTAAAGATTATTGTGATAATCATTGAAGATATTACAAGTAGCAAATCAATGTTTAATCACTAATTGACTCAAACTAATATTCATATTGCTTACTCAATGCTAACTCTCAACTTACAGTATTTATTTATTGATGATAGCATTAGTTATGGGTGTGCTTGAAATTAAAAAAAAAAAAGAACGGTAGAATAAGTTACCTAATTTGAGTGTTGACTTTGATGTAACCTTCTGTTAGCTTCTATTGCAGATGTTTTGGGCTGACAACTTTGTTTTAACCCCCGGGCATACAAGGGCGGGGGGTGGCATGTTGCAAGAACAATTCCTGTCAATGTTTCATTACTTAAGTGTGTTATGCAATAATCCTGTTGTGGAGAAAACAGTTTGTACCTCACAACATAGTGCATGAAACTCAACTGGTTTGAATTTGTGCATTATGATTGGGGGCAAAACAACTCAGATGCTCATTCAGTTCACATAAGGGGACAAGTTTCCAGCCTTAACTCTTTAAGCTTATCCAGCTTAGTGAGTAGCATCCTGTCATAACAGTAACACAACAGCTACTGTAGTATCATAGGATTTTGAGAGTTTTAAAAGCTTTAAGCCCTGTTATAGTTAAGTCCCAAAAGTGATGTACATCAATTTTCTCCCAACAATACTATGAACACATTGTGATCATCAAGTTCACTGAGGATTAATAAAATGATCACAATAGAGAAAATGCTTTGATCCTTAATCAAGTTCTCAACTAATTTTTGACGGAAGTGTAAGGAGTTCAGGTTGGAGAATTCATATATGTATATTAGGGCTGAAAAGGTTTAGGACATAGAACAAATGATCGCCAAAGTTTTTTTACCTTAGGATCATTGTGCAAAACGGTGAAAAGAGTATTCTTTTGAATAGATGTAATAATAGGGCTTGGAGTGTTTAAACGACAAGATAACTTCATTCGATAAAGGTGTCAGAAGTTTCTCTTTAATTAATTTAAGCAAAATTCCTCTGGTTTAAGTTAAATGCTCCTTAGAGTCGCTTAATCCTTAAACTGATTGTTGCTTGAGTGGTTTGAAAAATAATGATAGTATTAGAATGATAATGTGACAGTTTCTGCTGGTCGGAAACTTGTTCACACAACCTGGAATAATGACAGGTTAAACCTGTTGTTATTGTTTTCAAGTTTGCATCTTCAGTCAGTTGAGGTAAAGCGTGCCTTTGAATTATGACATTTAATAGCTCATAGTATTCCTCAAATTCATTTTGCAATGATTGTCCATGCCTAGCTAGATTTATGTTAGGTCACCTGATTGTTCTACTCGTAAGTATTTTTTCCCTGGAAATTTTATGGTGATTTATTTTGAGCCACACTTAAACAATTAACTAGTTCAATGCTTTGTTCTTTTGTCATTTTTCCCCTAGAAGAGAAATTTGTTTCAATCAGTTTTCAACACTGTATTTTAGGTGTGAATAAAAGTGTTGGCCAACAAGCTGTGGTTTCTTTTCTTGTCTTTTTTGTTTTCCTTCGCCTGCGAGCAAGCTCTCCGGGGCGCTCTGGCGGCGGGGCAGGAAAAGGAAGGAGAGTTTGCAACTACGATTCCACCTCCAATTCTCCTGTGGCCCGTCGTCTGAGCTGTCAAATTTCCGCCCATCAGCGCGGAGTGGAAACGAGCGCGAATGTAAACAAACATTGGAAAACACGTGGTTATAACCTCATTACTAAAGTCATCTCCGCCAATCAGCTATGTTTTCCTGGAAATGCAAATCTTATTCAGAACCACCAAAGCCCAATAAAGGAAAAGGGACTGGAGAGACCTAGGACAAATAAACCATTTACGAATTCCAAAAACTCTCACGAAGCTACGTCCAACACCTTTCTTGTAAAAATGAGTTTCAATTGCATGGGCTTAAAAAACACTCATTTTCATGTCAACTTAGCCTCGCTTTTTTGAAACACCCTACATGTTCAAAATCGGTCGTCGCCTTCTGTCTCGGACTGTGTTTTCCTTCAACATATTCTCGAAATAAAGCCAAACTAAGGGCCTGTTTACATGGAGTGGGGGACCCCGGTCTAGTGGGGTTGCTTTCTCTTGTTTTCACGCTCTGGGGGACAAAAAACAAAAGAAACCTACCCCACTAGACCGGGGTCCCCCACTCCATGTAAACAGGGTCTTAGTGTATCAGCGCTTGATGGCCGCTTAGTGGAGGTGACAACAACAATGAGAGAGCTCTCGTTGGTACTGTCAAAAGGTGGCCGCGGTCGCTAAATAGAGGTTTACAGGGGTTTAAGTTCCCATTCTTTTCCACAGTTATTTCCGGACTTTGATTACTGGCCGCTTAATAGAGGGCGGCCGCTCCTGAGAGGGTGTCATGAAATGTTGAGGTGAAAGGAAAATTTGTTTTTTTTTCCTCCCCACCCCTTCGCTGAATTTCCTGCTCACAACTCTTTGCGCAGGTCCCCACAATCTTAACTCCTGGAACTGGTTATTCGTTATGAATAATTTAGGTTTTTAGTTCTTAACTTTTTACTCATTACTACTATTACGTATTCACTGTTCTCTAACTCATTTATTTTTCTATTGTTTTACAGGGCCTCACTGAATATCACTCTTTGTGAAGAAAGCTCCTTGTATAAAGATTGTTGTTGTTATTATAAAAATACGTTGCGGATCCGGGTACGAAGCGGGCGGTGGGGTGGGGGGGGAGTGAATCTTAGGCATCCAGGCCAGACCACCCTTCAAATGTACCCATCATGCGGTCTAGCACATGTTAAGCCTGAGAAAAAACAGGCGACATTTCGCGGCGCCACCGTTGGCCCTTTCCCGCGAAATGACTTCTGAGGAATGAGCTCAGAAATTCCATACTGATGACGAGTTACCACCCAGATATGGTTAGTGCTTCCGATTGGACTGAAAATACCTGGTCTACCTGTGTTCGCACGCTAGGCTATAACATGTTATTATAGTTTGATGACTAAGGGCTACGACTATTTACGAACAAAACATTCATAGAAGACACAAAAGGTTAAGTTATGCGGCTTTAATAATATGGTCCAATATCCAGATACAAATTCTCTAAAGTGATGTCACCCGGAGGGGGAGGCTCCCTTCAGATTGGAATCCTCCCCCGGGTGATCTCAATACATTTTCGCGAAGAATGTGTTGAGGGAATTTGATCAAAGCATTTTCCCTTGGGTGATCATATCAATAATTCTCATAACCTTTTCTCCTGATTCTGTATTGACATTGTTAGGAGAGAATTGATGTTGATCAGTCTTGGTGCTGAAAAGGTCAAAATAGTACTGTACTTGGTTCTTTCGTGTCAAATTTATCAGAACCAGCCAGGAGCCCATAACCTGTACCGGCTCATTAGTACCATAAACCATACCGCTTTTTGGTCTTTCGCCCCACTTATAAGCCCACGTAAGACCTCGTAGAGTAGTCTGAAATGTCATACGTCTCCACCCACTAACCCCTGCAGCCCGTAGTGCAATTTTGCATGAAGGGTAATCGTAGGGGTATGAACCGGAATTTCCTAATCTGGACGGGAAGCCTGGATCGAGCCAGACTGAGTATTTCAATATGGCGGACGCCTGTGCCAAAGAATGGAACAGCATATTCCAGAAATCCCTAGGCAAATTATCAAGTAAATGTTATAGATCTTTTCTACTGGATATCGTAGCCATATTTCTTGGCCTTAAGCCATCATTACTCTTTGATTATGCGGTCGTTGAATGGAAAAGTGCGATCAGATTAGTTGCGGGACTCGCAACGAAAACTTCAGGCTTCACTGACTCTTCGCCGCTCTTGTACGTCCTGAAAGTCGATGAGGATGTATTTTACGCTGATTTGAGACTCTTAGTCAAAAGATTAAGGGAAAGTGTCGATATGGAGGAGTTTACTTTGATCGACATCTCTGGGAAACTTCATGAACCACGTATTTTGGAAAAAGAACTAGCGGACAGGGTTAAACGACAGTTTCACAGAATAGTAGAAGACTTACAAGAGAAATATAAAGAGTTTACGCAGAGGGGTGAACTTGTAGTTCCAGATTCACGAGTTATAAACCTTAGCAACTACGGTGACGATAACTGGTGCGTACCAAGCATATTTGGTTTTCTTCTTGGGTATCCTGTGATCTACTGGTGCGATCGAGCTGGCGACCTTTATAACTGTCTTAGTATGGTACCCCTTAATCGGTACACGCTGACATTCAAGGCAGCACCTTCTGCCCTCCACGCTCGATTACCTGCGAGTTATTACAATCTTGTTGAAGCTGGGTGTGAAGAGAAGGACGCCTTTAATCAGACTTTATTTTCATTCACGGCTCCAGTGGCACTTGAATGCTATTACAAGTCCAAAGTTAGCAATTGGTTCAAAAGAATATGTGAAGTAGGCGAGACTTTTGGAATTACAGAGCATTTGACAATCCAGAAAACAACTGTGACTTTCAGTCAGGTTACTTTATAGTGTCAGGAGCCTGATAGTGTGTAGTGACCAAAACGTCACTTGGGTGTGGTCTGTCTATGCCACATGCGGCCAGGTAGCTCCTCTTGCTGAAGGTTTTAAAGACTCCCGCGAGCGAAATGGCTCGAGAGGTTTTATGCAAAAATAAATGTGCAAACAGTTACTGTTGAAAGACTAGCTAGCTAAGCCAAAAAAGCCAAGACCCATTGCCAGTTATCCTGTAGGGTCATACTTTTTATAATTAGTCTTCGAAATTGATTACGAAAACTAAGACCTCGTCTAAATGTCCTCTAGTATTCAGTTGGCGATCAATGACTCAATACAATACAATACAATACAATGTTCTTTATTTTGAGAGGGTAGATATACATGATTAACCCAGTTAAGAGTTTTCTAACACATGGCCCTCTAATACTGAAAGAAATATATACAAATAAATTTCAAAAATACACACATACAATAATTAATTGAATGTAACATTTAAAATGAAATTAAAATTAACACAATATAAAAGTTTAATTAACATAGTTACAAACAATATATCACAGCAAACTTGGACGATTAGGAGAAATAGCAATTGCAGTAAAGCAGGAAACGGCATGCAAAACAGCAAAGTTCTTCGAGATGGGCAACGGAATTGAGTTTTTGAATGAAAAGTTCACGTAGCATGCGCTTAAAAAAGGCAGAGAAAGAAATCAGAGCATTAGGCGAGACTAGAGGAGTTCTTACAAGCTGTTTGATCTCAAGGGGTAGTGCATTAAAAAGAATAGCAGCTGTAAAGGAGAACATGCACTTGCCAGAGTTTGTTCGGGGCTGAGGGACCACTAAGTTTCCTGATGCGGCACCCCTGGTCATATGAGCACTGTTTGCAGATACAAAGGAGAATTTCTCTTTAAGACATAGAGGGGCTTCAGGATTAAGAAAAATAGAAGATAGCAACTGGAGTTTTTTATACTTAATAATGTCACAAACAGGGATCCAGTGGAGTGTAGAAAATAACGAGACGGATGGAGTAGAACAGTCGGCTTGAAGTATCATTCTGGCAGCACGTTTTTAGGACATAGGACCTCTGCTTTTTCCACTTAAATCATTATTTTCTTGTGGTGTCTTAAATGCAACATGACCAAATGTTTGGCTAATCGCTTTTTCGAGTACCAACAATTTAAACGAAACCCCGGCCAGGGTCTCTGTTATCCTTGCACAGGAACGAGAGATCGAGCCTTTCTGAAAACAGGATCGCACAGGTTACGAGATCTGGCCCCAGTTGTTTAAAGTTGGACGGCGCTATCCACAGCAGATAAGTGTTAAGGAAACCAGTTGCGCTATCCACTGGATAGAGATTCCAGTATCAAGTGGATAGCGTTATCCACTGGAGCGTGCAGTACGTTTTCATAGTAACTTAAGAAGGAAGGACCTCACGAAATTGTATTTAAACATCAGAGCAACCTTATTTAAATTTTACAATATAGCAGAAAACAGTTGACAGAATAAACCACACAAATCGTGTACAATTGATATTGAACCTTTATTTATAGCTATGTACAATATTATAGATAGAATAATTCTATTTCTTTAATTTCACCACGACGACACACGGTTAGTGACGGAAAACCTGAGCCTTCAGCCTATCTGACCTAAACGCATTTGCTGTCCTTTCCAAATTGAAAGCAAATAAGTATCAAAATCGGGAAATTTTGCTGTTTTTTAGCACTGAATACAGCGGGAAAGATGCTGGCATTCCAACTATGGGCGATTTGTCATCGGCGAAGATTGTGTTCTTGGAATTACAACCCCTGGATGCTGTTGCTCCTGTCATAGACAACTGTCAGCGGACTCCTTCCATGAAAGTAGTATCCAGACTTCGTAGGAGAGTTCGCATAAATGTCATTTCTTTTCGTGTGTTCTCAAAAATTTCTTTAGGGTCATCTGACGGACAGCGAAGACAATTTGGCGCCCAAACCATCGACAAGTTATTAACATCCATCTTCGTGACAGTGCTGTTGTTGGGAAGGGAAAATATCTGGTGATAAAAGAGAGAAAATAAACTATAATTAATCATAGCTCGGTCATCTTTCAATGAAAATGTTCTACAAACATCCGAGAGGGAAGCACTCCCTACAATGGCCTATACGGGGAGGTTCCGCCAGAAAGGGGTGCCTTTTCTCACGCCTCAGGTCGGAATTACACAACTGAAAGTATAGGTATTGAAAAGGTCCTTCGATCAAAATATTTCGAAAGACTCGCCTAATCAGATGGCTATATCATTTTAATTTATTAAACGTTAAAAGAAAATGAAAAGAAGATTGTCTGTTTTAAACCATTTATTCTTATTAAGAAGGTATGTTAAAGGGGTAACATTTCTTGATGGAAGGTATGCAAAAGTGGTAGTTTTTCTGTCAAAAATGGTTTATGAAATAGACAAGGGGGTTAGAGGGGGTCAGGGGAGCCTCCCCGTGCAGATTTTTGTTCAGTAGCCCCCTCCCACCCCCCGGGTGCGAACACTACATGACTTCATTTAAAACGTTGAAAAAGTACTTAAATAATGATAATAATACGAAATAAAATGCTCCAAATTTTGAAAGAGCAAGTCTGGATATCTCCTTCTTAGACACCAGAATTCGGTCTTTTTCTCGCCTGAAAAACGCTAAACAGTAACGCCTGTTCTGCAGGCCGGTTCAAAGATGACTGATACATGTAAACTCATACCTGTAGAAATCTTATGAGGTAAGAGAGTACAAGTCTGTTGACTTCAGGAAGAGCCATCACAAGCGCCACAGCTACTGTGAGGTTGTCGCAGTTGTTAACACACTTATCAGTGGAGAGGAGTTAAGGAAATGATATCTGAGTTTTCCAAATGGTGACATTTATAACCAAGTATAACAATCTCCAACAGAACTGTGGTCTGTGCACACTCATTAGGGACCTAAAAATCCAAGGGGGCGGCGACGGTGGCGAAACGTCGCTTAATAAAAGTGAATTCGCGTCCTTTCAATATTCTTCACGATTATTCCAACTCACTCACTTTGCCAAATGTACGAGAACCCTCCTGGATTTGAATTCCCAAGAACCGTTGAAGAACCATATCCAAACGGCAGAAGAAAATGTACCGAAATGCACCATGGGACTGTTTTGGGGAGGATATCTCTTCTTTTCTTTTATTAGCTATTGTAAAATTGCGGAGGAAACTGGGTCCAAATTCGTCCTCCAAAACAGTCCCATCCCTGCAATAGCCTGAGAGCAGGGTACCCCTGCCACGGCTTGGTCGTCAAACCGCTGCGCTTTCATGTAGTAACTCTATTGAACGCCAGACTACTACTGCCCCTCACCCACCCACTCACCCCAACTTCATGTTAACTGTTTTTTAAAAAGGATATTAAAAACGTTCCGGTATAAGAGGTTCGTGAAGTTCCCTGAACCACAGTTTGAGAAGTGAAGCCGGCACAAAAGGGTCGGCAAAATCTGTCGGTACTTCCCATCTGTCCAGTTTAAGTTTCTGACAGTTCACCTCATCGATATCCCCAGGGACCCTGAAACAGAGAGGGACATTAATGATTAACGACCACTGTTACGCCACTTAGGATACCGTAAACTGCCGCTTACGAGCTCTGGGCTTATACATCTTAATTCGGTTAAAAATGTCATAAATCGAATTCGTTTCAATACAAGCTGGAGGGGGCCTCCTTCCGGGGTGGACTAATAACCTAATAATCGGATGTAATTTTTTGTTTAAGAGTAGATGGGGAAAGGGGGGGGGGGGGGCGTTAAAAGCGGCAGTTTACGGTATTTGTCATTGTTTTTGTTGTTGCTTTTATTTTGTTGTCGTGTCGTATCCTCGAATTAAAGTCGAATTCTTCTGATTGAGTGCGGCGTTTATTCGTAATTTTGCTTCCGACTACCGCGTTTTATCGAGTAAATATGGAAGTAGCTATGACGTTTCTTGATCACAACTAGGGTACTGTGGCCTACCTAAAGATGCCCTCCGTTGATGCGCCTTGGTGCTGCAGAACTGACTCAGCGAGGGTGGGTAAAATCCAGGGTAGCTTAAGTGAAGGAAATCGCTTCGCCTGCGCTTCCATGATTTCGTCGAGAGTGGAGCCAAACATGGACAGCTGAAACACCGAGGACTGTAAACAAGAAATGGCAATAAGACCGAATAAGCTTTTAACAGCTGTTAGATCACGAAAGCCTTGATTTTGGTCTCGTCTTGACTTGCTGTAAGTCAACCCTGAGGAAGTACATTTGAGTTCATGTTGTTGTTATCATCGCCTGTGCCACACAAAATATGCTATGTATGTTATTAAAACCAAACAGAAAGTGCTCTTATATTTGCGATCTAACAATTACAAGGTGCACTCTCGAAGTCTTTTCTATCCTTGCCCCTCGTTAACGATCTCTTGGCCAATTAGATTGTCTAGACTTCGGTACCTTTTTTAAAGGTAAATAAAGGAAGAAAGAAATGTTAACGAAATTACGTAGACTAGGAGCAGTTTCTCTTTTTTCTTAGTCCGTCGAGTGAAACGCGTGAGACACGAAAATTATCACAGGCGCGTGACTGAGCCGCTCGACGCTCGCGCGCGCGTGCACTCCTCTCATTAAATCTGAAGAAAAAAAAGAGACCGCTCGCAGTCTCAAATTACGTGCAGTAAAGCACTGCAGGTATTAATTTATTTTTTATTTAAAAAAAACATAGGAGCGTTAAAGTTTTGAAGACATCTTTGGGAAACTACAGTATGTGAAACTGGATACTGAAGTATCCCCAAAAAGTCTTCAAAGCTTAAAACGTTGTGTCATGTTTTTTATTCATCATTAGAGAGATTAAGATTCACCTTTACGCCAAACGGCAGACGTGAATTTGTACCACGTGACCAAGTTTTCCCCTTACTTTCCGTTTACTCTTTATTGTTTCTACACAAAAATAAGTAGTTTTATTCCAGTGTTAACCATAGGAATCGTTCGGGACTGTTTTTATCTGCTTTTTTTCTATTCTGAGAAATTCTCAACTTGAGTATGACGTTTGCCGTTTGCGGTAAGCGTGAATCATAATATCTCTGTTGTATAATTTTAAATGTAAAATAAGTAAATAAATAGGTAACAACAACTGTATTGTGAAGAGCGATTCAGCGACTTACCTTAGCTTGCTGAATGTCGTCTACGCTTGGTTTCCGGAGCCCTCTCTTTGCCCCAGTTCTAGCGATTCGTTTAAGTCTCACCGAACAATGGCTGGCGTACTGGGTTACAGGAATCTAAAACAAAGAAAAGAACAGAGTAACACTTACAATTACGTCAATACTACAGAAATTTGTACCTACACATTGTAGCTCAGGAGCAGAGTTGGAAAAAGTGTCATTTTACTAAGAGAACGCTTTCAAGGGCTACCTTTTCCTTCTTTAGGCTATTTCCACACGATTTCATTATAGTTTATAGACGGATACAAATTTCAGCGTTTAGGTTTCGGTTCACACTAGAACGATCGTTAATGGATTCTGTATAGTTATATAACTGAAGAGTCTCCCGTGCGAACGGATAAAGTACTATTCTTCTCTTGACAGTGGTAAACGTTCAAGTCTGTATGCGTCAGAGTGGGCATAACTAGCCTGTTCCAGGCTCCAAGATAGTAGGCGAAAGAGATCGAAAAAAGGTGCGAAACACCGCGTGAGGACTGGGGAGAGACGGTTCCCGCCGTTTTTCGCTGGCTCGCTTTTTCGCTTTTTTCGCTTATCTACAAAGACCGAGAGCCTGGCACAGGGTAGAACATAACCTTAAAACTAAAGTCTTTGACAAAAGACCATAATACTCTTTGCTTTCCCTCCAAAATTTTGCATAAACATTCTGTTGCACAATGGTACGTCCCAAGAGAAATTGCAAACCATTTCGACGGAAATTTTTTTAGGGAAAACAAAGATATTTTTGAAAAAGGCCTATTAGGTTTACGCATGGAAAGTCTAAAAGACCATTAATCTACCTCGAGAGTACGAGGTTACGTGAAAGTTACCTGAAGTGTCTGGCCCAAAAAAAGCAAATCAAACAACAAAAACAACTTACATCTTTCCAGTCGGAGTCTTCAAGGTTCTTATTAATGTAGCCCTCTAAATATGAGTAGAATTTGGTGGAAGGAGGAAAGAGAGCGAGGCATATTGCCATGAGCTCCCAACCACATCGTAGACTGTCGCTGAAAACAGGAACAAATGCAATGTTATAAAGATTAGGGAGCTTGGCTAAGTACTAAGAAGGCGCCGGAAATTTTCCGTTCGTAGACAGTCGCTGCCATTTTCACCGTCAATGAAAGTGTTTCCACTAAGAAGAAAGAAACAATCGAACCACACCTTTCGTACGCTAATTTGATCTCTCTCCCTTACCACTACACTACTACAACGGACCACCGCCTCTATTAAACGACCACTTTGTCAAGATGTACCTCACTAGTACAATAGGCAAATCTTTGTCTACATTCTTTGCCGCATTGGCATGTGCGTCTCATCCTCTGATCAAGCTATTAAAATAAACTCTCTGAATATCGAAAGAGCGTAAAAAATCAGTCAAGTGTGAAACTTTGAGCTCCATATACTGAATAATTTCGGAGAAATTAGCTTTGAAAAAGTCGAAACTTTACAAAGAATGTATGGGCTCATTAATGTTATGCCACCCAGCAATTTCGCATTTTTCGATGTCTGTTATTTATTTTGTTATCGCTTGTAAAATGCTGAAAATTGCACAAATTGTTCAAGTTAACAAACTCTGTCAACGTTTGAATTTAATTGGTGCATACGCTGACGCCTTCTAAAAAATGACATCAGCAAAGATTCGCCTATACGTACACTGTGCACGGTATAATTTCAGAGACCTCAGACTAGTCGGGTCACCTTTTTGTGATGGTAGGGTCACTCTCCTAGCCAGGCCAACTTGCCTCCATTATTATAAACACTTTGGCTCGCCCAGCCGGATCAACTCGGTATTAAAAGGTGTGACAATCAGAGCGTGCGAGAGCGCTTTTTAAGACATCAGAGCATGTGCGAACGCTGTTAGCTCGTGCAAAGGGGTCAAGAAGGACAAAAAAGAAAAATAGAGGTCCCCCTCATCCCTAAATAGATTTGATACCCGGGGGGGGGTACTTCCTTATAAGAGGCTATGTGCCGTTGGATGGGTTCGCATTTTCACGAATGGATTGACTATAGGGGGCGTCGCATTTTCAATAGAGTTACTAGAATGGGGTCGCACATTTTCTCAGGCTGATTTTCGGGGTAAGAAAGTTCTTCAAATTTACAGTTAGCAAACGTGTCAGAATGTTTGTACTGTAAATGAAAAGTAAAGTGTTCTTCATTCAATGTAAAAAATGGGTCAAATCATTTTATGATGACCTATTTAAAGGATTGATAATATAGATACATAAATAGAAAGTGACTAAGTTGGGATCGCGAAAAATCACATATTTGCCCAAAAGTGACTAAGACGGTGTCTATAATTGGCCACAGAATAGACTATAATGGAGTAGGGGCTCTGAGAGGTCAGCAGCACATACCCAGCAAAAATTAACCCAAGTATCCCCCCACCCCAGATTTCATGCTCATGCCCAGGCTAGACTCGGTACATTTCTGACAAGATGGCCGCCCGTAAGGGTAAGTGCTTCATCCCGACGATCTTCACGTTTTGTCCTAACGTGGCATCTCGACTTGTCACAAGTCTACTCACGGTCTAAAGTTGTCGGTTGTCTGTTTACACAGTTGCAGGTAAATCTCATCTCTCAGTATAGGTGTACCCCAGCCCTTGGTAGTGAGTTCCAAAGCCAGTTTCTCCGGACTTTTCCCCTTGATTGTTCGATCTCCCATGTAGCCGAGAATTAATTTAAACATGTCGATTGCATCCTTTTTCATTTGTCTGTCTTGGATCAAAATCAGCGGTTTCTTGATAGGCACCTGATAAAATCACAAGGGGCATTAAACATTTGCAAGTAAAGCCGTGCAAAATGAATTCGTGGAGGGGTGGGGAAGGAACGCGTGACGAAGCACAAAGAACATCTGCGTGGGAGGCTAACAATCGTTGGGATCAATTTAGGTTCCTAGGAAAATGCCCACCTCCCTCTCCCCTAAGCAAACATTTTACCCTAAGTAAGAGGAAAGTGTAAATTTTGGCTTAGGGAGGGATAGGTGGGCAGTTTCTCAGAACCCAGACACTACTTGCCGTTATATTTTTGTTCGTCGACCTGGGGGGCTTAACTCTTTTATACAGGGTTTTAAACCAGAGTCAAATGTTGACAGGATATGTGTCTGGGTTGATTACTCAGGGACTCAAAAGTCACTTAGTACCTTTGACCAGGAGAGCATGCTTGCTAAAGAGATTCTCTTTCGTCTGAAAACGCCTTTCTTGTGATGACTAAAGTATTCTTCATAAGCACCTAGCGCTCTCATCAAAGGTGGCTTGGAGCCTGGGATGGAATGAGAACGTTCCTGGTAGAAACAGGGAAACAAGCAGAAACATATCAAGTCAAATTGGAGCTAACTGCCTGTAAAACTTCACCTTGTCGTGAAGAGCTGAAATATATTCACAGACAGGTTTGATAAGCCCATGTACAGCCACCACCTTCCACCCAAAAAAAAAATCGAGGGGAGGGGGCAGCTGTACATAGGCAAGAAGTCAAATCATGTCACAATATTGCGGTTTGAATAATGGAGAAAAATAAGATTCTAGGTAGCACTGGAAAAAGCCACTGGACCGCACCTCTACCGGTCCAGTAATTTTCTTTGTTCACACAAACCCTAGTAATTTTGCAGACAAACCAACGCTCTAGCTAATTCAGTTCTCATGCTTATTCCATTGCTGGTAGAATACTTTTGATAAACTTATCTCATAAATTTTGCGTTACGCAATTCGTGTGATTGTGAGCTGCGTATAATGAGGCCAATTAAATTCCAAATGAAAGCAGCTAATTGTTACATCAACAAGGGCCAGTCTCAACGAATTTCAACGGTATATATTAATACCAAGACACAATGCAAGCCACTTACCAAGGTACTGTGCTTTGAAGAGCCTGTTGCCGGAGTAGCAATGGAGGAAGGTCGGCTTAGTCGTGGCAAAGTGCTCGGTGTCCCAAGGGATTTCGTATCCAAGTCATCATCATCATCATCATCATCAATCCTAAGATCTTTCAGAACACTGTCACTCACTTGTCTCTGATGCCGCAGAGAGCGAATACTTGGCAGACTGTCATTCAAGGAAGGCGGTGCGCATGCCTCAACTAAACGAGCTGTAGTTGCAGGCATGCCTCCTGCTCTCAGTTTTAGACTCAAAGAATCATCCACACTCTCCCTGTGGCCTGTGGAGTCAAAACAAATTATTTACAGGATATTGGTCTTTCCATTCTCCTCAGATGAAGCCTTGCAAATCAGCAGATTATTTTATCAAGGTTAATTTCCATGTTGTATAGGATATGGAGCAAGATTTCATTGAAACCCCTGAAAGGGGACATTTTCTGGTGGAGCATACCCCAGGACCACCCTAGAAGCTTTGGCGCTCATTTAGGAAATCAGTCAGTATTTGTCCTAGATCTGCACAGCTAGGGATGGTCACTGCCAGAGATTGTAACTTTTACATAAGCTCTTTAGTGTTGCTTAAAACTCCTCATTACAAGACAAAGACTACCATGAGCACCTTTCCTGGAGCCCTTGAAGCTGCCACGCTCAATAAAGACCGAATCATCTTCTCTTCTCTCTGTTTGAGAGGAGGCTGCAGCAGCTCTGTTTGCCAGAATAGTCCTTGACGCACTTTCCACAGCTTGTCGCGCCCTCTCTATGGTCCCTGATGGGCTAAGGTGATCCTCTCCCGTGCTACTGCGTATGGCCACAAAAATGAAACACATTTTAGTAACCCCAATGATAACTAATAAACTAATCTCATGAAAATGAAGAAATGACAGTCGCAGTGAACGCAATTTATGCAATTGCGTAAAGAAGCCTGAAAAAAAATTCAGTGCTCCCAACGTCAGTGGCTTCATAGCTCAGTTGGTAGAGCATCGCACCAGGATCGCGAGGTCACGAGGTCAACCCCGGTTGAAGTCCTGAATTTTCTTTTTTTTTTTTCAGGCTTCTTTACACAATAACATAAATTGCGTTCACTGCGACGATCATTTCTTCATTTTCATTTCATTTCCACAGTTCATATATGATTTATTTCAAATACCATTAACAAACTAATCTCATGTTAAGTTGCTTCAAAGGAATTAGAAACTTTTGATAGGGATACATTGGACTGCACAATATAATGCAGTGGTCGAATACTTTGGAAAATGCCACTGATGATTACTTACTCTCTTTGCAGTGTATGTAGCCACCATTACTCCAAGAGGGCAATATAAAATAATTGTCATTAGAGGTTGTATGATAATAATAGTAAGGTCCTCCACAGGACTGTTGTTAACAGTGACTAATTCATGTAACAAAAACCACATTTAGGATTATGTTTTCATTCAAAGTCTGTTTGCCACTTTGTTTCCCCAAAAATAAACTCTCCCTCTCCTCAAAAGTCAAATGATCTGCCCCATAGCAGGGGGTTCAGGACACACAATGCCTTCTGGGTCACCTACATCCAGCATCTCTTAATCTTAATCTTTGAAGCTGGGCCAAAGACAGCCTAATAATAGAATTCCTGAACCACCACATAACTTAACATAAAGTTTCTTACTCATCTAGAGTGCCAGTTCTTGACAATGTTCCTGATGGTGTAAGCTGGCCTTCATCATCAGTTACACTCTCCTTTCCATCTTGAACACTAAGCATTGTCACATCAGGTGTGGCAGCAGGAGCTTCTGGTGCGGGAAGCTCGGGTAAGGGTATCCCAGGCAGGGGAAGTTCAGGGGACTTTCTTTTTTCTACGCGTTCTGCATCAACCTCATCCACATGGGCTGTTGTTACCTCTTCACTGTTAGCATCAACTACATCTTCAGCGTCACCCTTTGATGGCTTGTCCTCCACTCCATTTTCCACAACAGTGGCTTCTTTTGGAACTGCAGTAGAGGAGCTTGAAGGCTGAGATTTAAACTGTAGCATCTCAGTTGTATTGTTCACAACTTGTTACTAATAATTATTTATTATTATTGAATACCTCACACCAAACCCCCCACAACTCCCTCAATGGCTGAACAGGAAGGAGGAAAAGACCAGCATGGGTGAGTAATCTTAATATTCCCAGTTCCAGATTCCGGATTTGCAATACACCTTATTCCAATTGAAAACAGTGCCCAGCTTTGAAGGCTGCAGAGGCAACCAAGACAAAGAATGCATAAAATATAACAAAAGTAATGATATTGCTATCATTTTTGTATATAACCAGTGGTTTCAGGATATTATGCAACCATAAATTCTGTGAGTGACCATGAGTTACCCTAAATCCTCTATTAAGCCCCCCGCCTCTATGAAACCCCCTCCCCTCCCCTCCCCTCTCCTAATTATTCTTCACTAATAAAATGATAGACTGTACTAATAAATCACGACTGTAAAACTTCGTGTGGACTGATCTGGGATGGTTTATTTACCAACTGGAAGTTCGGATTTGATTCTGATCCTTGGCTGCAATAACCCAAAACGTCTTGTACTTGAGCTTTTCCACTTTGTATTCTAGTTCTTTATGGAGAACTGATACCATCGTCATTTCTAAATCAAATAAGCCCCCCCACCTCAAATGGGCTTGAAATAAATAAGCCCCCCAGGATGCTTAATAGAGGATTTATGGTAAATTGATCTTTTTTTGGTTAAAACCAACATAAAAATATATTATACAGGTCATGTAACAGTGGAACCTTGATATAACAAAGGACCAGGGGACTAAAAAAATAATAATGTTTTCTGTCAAGCTTTCATGATATGGAAGTTCTCTTCTTTTTAATTGTATTACTATTACTGGACAAAAAATAACATTCACTATATCGAAGGATTTGATATGACCAGGGATCCACTGTGAAGGATTCAGACTTGTATAGGCCCATTACGTCTGATTTATGATGCACCTCTAAAACCTCAAAATCATCATTAGATAACTAAAAGACAAAATCCAAAGCTTGTCTTAAAATTAATCTGTGCTAGAAACTAACCTCTGCTTCATGTTTTTTGTGCTCTCTTGAACTTGTTCTTTCTCTTCTTTCCCTGCTACTTCCATGCCGTCGTGATGAGGATCCCTCCCTTGATACTCCATTCCTTCCACTACTTTCCCTTCGATGTAAATTCCCATCATCATGTTTTCCTGAGCTGTCCTTCCTGAGACTGCCATCCCTCTTTCTTCTTTCAGAACTTTCCCGCCGACTTGAACCTTCTCTTCTCTCTTCTCTGGCTTTCGCTGCTCGCCTCTTTTCTCTTGCTTTTAGGGTCTACATTAAATTGAATAAAAATGGTCTTTTAAAATAGTTGAAATGTCTTTTCAGGGAGAATCGTAACTTGGCATTTTCAGGCTTTATGCAGTTTAACCACCATTGACAGGAGTACATGTAAATACAGCTAAGTTACAGGTCAGAAGAATACGATGTGTATGTAAGTCACTGTTTCATTCCTGCATGATCATAATATTTTCAAATTTGAGGGGTTGCATTTCATTAATCATAGAGAATATACAGACGTTTTGTTACCAATCACTTTTAACATAATATTTGGACCAAATGAATGCTACAAGCACCTTATTTTTTTTTCAAGCAGTCATCTGAATATTACAACATAACGAAGATCAAAAAAGTGCTTTCTATAGTCATCTGTTTATTCCAAAATACAGTCAATCGCATACCAACCCTAAGATAAATTTCATGACACCATGTTTACATATAAATATGCTACTGTAAACACATTTCCTCTTCAAGGATTCAGAAACATTTAAAAATAATTCAATTTCTTACCAATATTTAATAACTAAAACAAACTTACTCTCAGAAAATAAAAAATAACTTCCAATAAAATATAATGATTTAAAGTTCAAAAATTATCCAACACCAACTCCTAAACCATAGGTGACAATAATTAATACTTTTACTGAATTTTGTAGGTATGTGTAACTGCAGTATTTACCACTTCACGACAAAAAAAGAATTCCACCACTCTAGCCAAAAAACACATAGCCTCCACTGCCCACAATAAATGAGATACTTGTACACAATAAATAAATTGCTTTTACCACATCTTTTTGGCTTTATATTATGAGTGCTCGTATTTCTTTGTGACAGCACATGACATTATGCTTGCAAAATGGTAATAATTAACAAGCTTCAGGACAAATATGTTAACAACCAAAATTATAATCAAGTTTGACACAATGAAGGTGGATTATCGACTTCAACTGGAGCACAAAGTACAGAATCACTGAATTTGCAAATAATTACTGATTTCAAATTCCTAATTAGTTTACAAGTCACACAAAAAAAGAGCACAATAAAATTACCATTCTGAAATTGATTGACAGCTTTATAAATACCGACAGGATAAGATCATGCAATTTGTAAGATCTAAAAAATTCAGAGGAAGTTTTTACATTAATTATTAAAATAGATTATGAATATTTGCAAATAATTGTCCAAGAAAATGTCACTCTTCACCCTTCCTACAAATGAAAGAATTGGCTAGAAATCCCAAGGTGAAAGCCCACTTTCTCATATAAACACAAGTACACGACGAATGTCTTTTTTGGAAAATGTCATACTCATCAAAACCAATGCACACTCTTGCTAACAGAAACCCTAAACTTCTCAAGCAAACTGCGAGTACAATGTAAAAATTTTAGTAACCTATATCCCAAAGCAGTAATTGCCATATTATTAAGTAACTAGTCATGAACACTCTCCCACTTACAGGACCTCTAAAGTCTGTGTTTTCACTGAAAATAATACAAAAAACATTATGATACTTAACACATACCTGTAGTTTAGCAAGAGGGATAATCTCTGCATCTTTTGGTTTATGCCAAACTGTAGTTTGTGTTCCTGCACTGTAATAGTAGTAGCGACGAGTCTTCTGGTCATACAGTTCCCACCACTGAGTGTCATTGGCTTTCTTACTGAAATTTGACACTCTTTAAAATCAGAACACACTTTTATATAGGTTCACATTCAGTTTTCATACATGTAAATATAAGCTGACAAGGCCACTGGCTGATCACCAGTGGTGACTATAAAACATACTATAATGTAGTTAAGTTTAAAAGTAGCAGGCCTCTACAAAAAATAACTGTAAAAGAACAAAGATAAACTGTATCTTACTAACAAGACTAACTTTACATTACTTTCTATGGCTCTAATTTCATACATGCATACATAAGTGAATTATTTTTTCAAAGAAATTTACACAGGTCTACCTGATCATTTTGGAGCTTTTCATATGTGTGATGGTGCAATTTCATGCAGTAATAATGACCTCAAATTTCATCTGATTAATAATTCGCAAGAAATCATAATTAACAAAAAATGATGCAGCCACCCACTACTACAACTGTACCTAGCAACAAAATTAATTGGAATGAGAACCTTTGCCCTCAATGACATTTCTTGCATTTTGTTGACACTACAAAACTACTTCAAATAAACCCTCCAAGTTAAAGTTTTTGCTTGGTCACCCTTTGGCAACCAACTCTTTTAGTTTAGGGAGACTTTTTTACAAATCAAGTCACCAGCTACAAAATTTTAGGTGCCACATGGCGACCGGAATGGTCCCAACTTGGAGGGTTGAAAATGCAAACATGAAACTTTTCCTCCTTCACCCACTAACCTAGTCTAAACAAAACTAACTTTAGAAGACAACAAACAAACCAACTCTGATTGGGGGGAGGGTAGGGGGAGGGGTAAAGATTGGTTTGTTCTCTGAATTATACCCCATTTCACAATAGTTTCTCAAAAATTTTGCCACTGATTGTAGACTTTACCATTTAACTCCCAAGATCTGATTAATAATTCTCCCATATATACTAATACGCTAAATACTGAATGTTAAATGAGAGAATATTTATTATTGAATTATTGCGGAGCTCGCGCGTGCAAAGCATGCGCCAGCGGAGCACCATGGGTAAGTAAATCTACCCATCGCAGAAAATTTGGTAATCAAATGACTGTATACTGACCACCCGCCATCCATCCGCACCAACGGCAAACCAATGTAAAATAACTCAATCAAGAGGTATGGCAACCCAAATGCAACTCGAGATTATTTTGGCAGGAAATCGCATAGCCACCTGCATCTTGTAAAGCAGAGACAACTAAAGAGTCAATAAAGACGAAAACGGAAAGCGCAAATTGTTTCTATATCCGTGTTGTCTACAGTATTACGCTTAGATTAATTGTCATGTCCACAAATTTGGTATATAGGGCAAGAGAAAGACAGAGGAAAAGAGAAAGAAGGTGGCAGGAAAGCAAAGCTCAACAAGAAAAAGGGTGACAGAGATCTAGGGCAAGAGATAAGGAGACATTTCTTAGTTGGAAGTCAACAACAAGAAAATTTTGTAGCAGAGGTGACAAAATGAGAAATGCTAGCAGCCACCAATGCAAGGTGAAAATGAGCAGCAGTGAAAAAAAGGGCTCAACGACAACACGTACGACAT